TTATATATAAAATGTGAAACTATGTGTGCATATTTACAGGTTGGTGTTGATAACCACCTTGTCCAAGCAATTTCAAAGCAGCGGCCACTTTTATTGGAGTTGGAATTGCTGTGGATCCATTTGGAACGACGAGGTCATTTTTAATAGCGTTTATTAAAAACATAAACGCATCTTTATTGAGACGAACATTTTGTACAAATTTATAAAAATTAAATATTTGAAAACGTTTGTCACATTATTCGTACTTCTATTTTCATACCCGTGTTCACTTAGGTAGAGTATATTTGATCGATCTCTTAAAATTCTTTTTTTAGTTAGTTCATAATTTTTGTTTTTAAAAAAACACTCGTACCACATAAAAATATGTTTTTATTAACAATTTTTTGACGTTTCCTTTTGTCATTCTTCGTTATTGTTTACTTTGTGGTGCTAGTGTTGCCCTATTTTCGATTTATTTTGCGAATGCGTTTGCGTGAGCGATACAGAGTACCAAATTGCACTCTTAACGCATTTAGCTTTCGCATCGCACTGGCTTTCGCAACGCAATACAGAGTAACCCCCTTGGTCCCTCACATACTATTGGAATATCAATGGAGTGGACTACTGGAAACAATTGAGCATCTTCTATGTAAATGTCGAAAAAAGGTATTGATTATTTGGTAGATATGAGCTTGATACTCTCCCCGGAATAGACTCCATAAAATAAATACTTTGATAGAAATAAGTAAAAAAGTGTCAGTGTTGTCGACATATATATATATATATATATATATGTATATATACCCACAGCCTATGGTATGCGGAGGTCTACGAAATTATACACATGTTTTATTATGGGTTTAATTAGTGTACCGATATAAAATTAATTTTCATAAAAATTTTTACTATTTTATTTGGAAGGCACGATGGATCCCAATATATATATATACCCACAGCCTATGGTTTGCGGAGGTCTACGAAATTATACACATGTTTTATTATGGGTTTAATTAGTGTACCGATATAAAATTAATTTTCATAAAAATTTTTACTATTTTATTTGGAAGGCACGATGGATCCCAACTTCGAACTTTATTTTTTTGTATCAGGGTCGTACCTAATTTAATGCGCTCCGTACAAAAATACTCACCTTCTCACCTTTATAGGGTTTGTAAGACGTCCGTATTACCCAAATACGCCAATTTAAAACGGCGAAAGTGAATGAAAACATTTTCTTAATTGATCGAAAAATGTTTATTTTCATAGAAACACAAATTTTTCAATGACTGAAAATATGCATTGTCAATGTTGAAAATTTTCAACTTTATATTTTTATAACGTTACCTAAAATCCAACGAGGCGTACAAAAATATTCAACTTCCCCACTATAGCAAAATGTTTAGTACGACCGTATTACCCAAATACGTCGAATCGATATCTCGTACAAAACTAAAAAAAATCGCCAAACAATATTAAAAAACAATATATAACATTAAAATGTATTCAAATATTTAACATTCTTATTGAAATGTTCATTTTTTATTTTTGTTTCGTTTCTATTTTCAACAAAAGAAAAAAACAAAACTATGTTCTGTTATAGTTGAATTTGTTCAATTTTTAAAATTCGAACGTTGACGTATTTCGGTAACTTTCATATAAATACATGTGTTTTACTTTTGAGATGAATAACGTCGAACGCCCTAGTTGAATTTTAGGTAGTGCTCTTATACGCAATGCGTACTTGGGTATCTTTCATTGAAATACATGTATTAAACTTTTGAGGTGAATAAATTCGTACGCATACGCATGAATTTAGGTACGACCCTCAAATGGAATATTCCATATGTTTGTTATTGATTAAAAAATTCAAAATGTTAAACCTTTGGGTGGGAGGTACTAGAAGGAGTGGACCGATGCGATCAGCCTTCGGTGGACCGATGGGATCCGCCTTCCGACACACTAATCTGCTGCTCCAGCGGTGCTTTAAAAATCCTGAGTTAAAATAACTTGTGTAACTCTTTGGATCTGTCATCTCAACGACGACTAATAAGTCCGACCATACTTCCTGGATTCTATAGCGCCTTAACATAAGGCGACCAGATTTTGGAAATTGGAATAGATGACATCACGAAAAAAATTAATTAGGGTCGTACCTAATTTATTAAAATAAAGTTTTTAACACGTTCGTCTGGAAGTAATTACTTTGTTATGGACGAAACAAACATTTTATGGTAATCCCTACTGGATTTTGGGAAGAAATCATAACCTTACATTCATTTTTCGCGTTTTTAGTTTTGTGTTAAAAAATGTCAAATAAACACAAACACTTGTTTCGTATATTTATTTTATTTTTGGCAGAAGAGCTTGCTTTTTTGTTATTCACCTCAATTGAAAACGGCGAAAATGGATGAAAACATTTTTTTTCATTGATCGAAAAATATTTACTTTTATAGAAACACACTCTGAAGTTCTATTTTCAGAAAACAAAAAAATCAAAATACGCATTGTAAATGTTGACAATTTTCAACTTTATATTTTGATACGCAATGCGTAGTCCCAATTTAGATTAGGCGAGTTTACTTGCCGCAAGTCTTTGTTTGCAGGAGAGAGGGGCAAAGGGGAATAGAAATGGAAAAAATTGCTCGTACCGACAATTTTCTGGCAATTCGATTTGTGTATTTTTACTATTTTCTTCGTTTTTACTATTTTCTTCGATATCATAAAGGAAAATTCGTTATCCTAGTAAAAAATTGTAGATTCTTGCAGTACGGGAACAGGCCAATATTTGCAACCGAATTGCCTTGTATAGACGCATGAAGTAAGTTCAAAAGAGAACGATAAGAATTGCCGCATGTAAACTCGCCTAATATAAATCAGGACGTATTTGGGTAACATTCATTGAAATACATAGTTCCGTTCCAGAACCTAAAAGAATCTACTCATTTTACATGTTTTGCTACTTTTTACTCGAAAACCGTTCCTCAACCCACAAAACTGGTAAAACATTGAATCAAATTTAAGATAGCACAAAACAAAATGGCTTTGAATTTAGTTACGACCCTTACAATTCGTGATTTCGACTAACAACCTGTCTCAAAATCTAAATGTATCCAATATAACAACCTTGCAGTCATAAAGTTGACAATGAGAAGATAATTTTTCTATAAATTTGACAGAAAATATTGAATGCTTAAATTTACTCAATGTTTATTAACCCTTTGAGCCCCGATTTTTTCCGTAATCATAGAACACAGATTTAATGCTAACAGATTTAATGCATCTATCCTAGATAGGATATGGACAAAATTTGAGATCTCTACATCCTTGCATTCGGGAGATACAGTACATTCTTTCTGAAAAATAAAAGCCCAATATCAAGAAAACCACATGGAAAATCGACGAAAAAATCATTTTAAATTATTCTCTATATTAATTTTTACAAGAATCAAAAATAATTGTGATGGCAGAATTCGTACATTTCGAATGCGAAGCGATTTAAATAATTTGGACTGTATACACAAATTAGTACTGTACACATTTTGCCCCCTTCTCTACATTGAAAAGCTCATAACTTTACCAAAAATTTGAATTTTTTGAGTTTTCTTTTGATGTGTCCATAATCAGGTCTTAACGTATGAAATCCAAAGAATATATATCTACAAGCTACATATGAAATATAAGCTCTAAAACAGTTTGTTTCCTGTGGGCAACATTGGGCCACAAAGGGTTAATAAGTTTACATTTAACCGGATTTCGTTAACCCAGTGGGTTTAAATTGTCAATTCCTTTGCATATATGTCAGATAAAGTAGGTTAACCCGGTAAAAAGTTATAATGTATATGCCCTTGGCAAAATTATACAAGGTAGTCTCATGCAGTCATATGTTCCCAATTTTTTCATAAATTTGCCTTTGACAGTATTCAGTTTTCAAAATATAAATGGAAAAAAACATTCCATCGAAATGTACGCATATCAGTGTTTATTGGCAAATAATGTATATTTATAAATATTTTAATGTTTTCTGCTTCTAAAACTTATAAATATTACCATGGTTAAATCTTGAGAACAATGTTCAGCATTAAAAAATATGTTTTGTTTAATTTATTGAAAATATGTCAATCAACATACATACAATTTTATGGAATTCATTTTTCATATTATTTAAAATTGATAGATGAGTTCCAAATTAAAAAGGGTTGTCATCCCAAATTTCTCAAATGAGATTACCTTCTGGAATTATGCCATGGTATATTCAGTTTAAGGCATGAATTCGGCACCCTGCAGATCTTATTGATATTGATCGAGGTTTAAAAATATATATGACTAAAGATGACAGGTTATAGAAATTATAGATGACAGATACAGTACATACATTTCATAGATGACAGCCAGTTAAAATAGATGATTGTCCTACGAATGGTAACCATACTTAACCATACTTACTTGCCCAAAATATACTGGAATGAGTTCCGATGTTACAACGTTGATCCCTATGCACTTTTATCGTTTATACTCGCTTTTTGATTTGACTTAAAGTGTCAGATCTCTAATTCTGGAATCAGTAGAGTTCGTACGACGAAGCTCATCACGCTTTTTTACGAATTCCGCTACCTCTGCTGCTATATAGCGAGGGAGTTGCCTTGAAATTCATTTATCCTACCTAAACATCTCTGAACTCTTGTGAATTAACTTTCTCATGGTTAAGAAAAGTATGACGTTCAGAGGTTATGAAGTCGGGTCTGTTAATGGATTGTAGGTTCTGGAACAAAGCAATACGTATTATGGATTACTATTTAAATTTATTAATTGTTTATATGTCCTTGTCTAAATATCGTTGAATGAATTTCAAAGTGCGAACTCCCCATATAAAATAAAAGTTACGTCAATAATATGCCGCCGCTAAACATAACTGCACAAACTTTGTCATCTGCCTGTCATCAAATTGCCCTGGAAATCTTGTTTGCTTTCGTGGATTTTAGATTGAAAACGAGAAAAATAAATAAGAATTGTTTCAATTTGCTGGCCTTAGTTTAAGTCGATATCACACAAATAATCTCAATATGGCTAATTTTGGTGGACCCAATGACTTTTACACCGGTGGAGATAATTCCTATAATTTTGATATGCCGGAGTTCGAACAAGAATTGTAAGTTTGTGGGCGATGTTCTCACGGAAAAAATGAAGATACGATTATAATGTTGTTTTCTTTATTACAGAAATTTTCAGAATTTTGAAAATACTCCAACAAACGTGCCACCCAATTATGATATGAATTACCCAAACACCAACAACAGTGGCATGAGTTCATTTTATGACCCCACTGCCTATGCTCCAAATCCATATGATCAAAATGATAAAGGCGGCTATAAGGCTGGTGGTGTCGGTGGCAATACCGGAAATGAATTTGAAGATGAACCACCATTATTGGAAGAGTTGGGTATTAATCCTAATCATATTTTCCAAAAGGTAATCTATTTGGATTGAATTGAAAGAGAAAAACGTACAGGGGAAATGTTGAGTCATTCCCTATAACTAAATACAAGTCTGTACCAATGCTTGCATTCCAAATTACTGATATTATACTGTGGAATTGAAACAGATCTAGAGAAAAATGTTTGTATTCGGTATTAAACTATTAATCCTTAAGAGAGGCTCTGGAACACATAATGTAATTCTTAAAATTGGAAAAATTATCCATTTGTTGGAAAGAAAATGGTCTTCAATAATTTTCCTCTAGCTGTATAATTCTATAATGGTAGACCCTGTGGAGTTAGTTATAAATAACTTTTACAAGTTGACAATTTAAAAATTATTCATATATTTATATATATTGCACATTTAAGTCATAAATTTTTAATTAACAGACCTTGGCTGTTTTGAATCCTATGCGTGGAGCCGATCAACAAATACTCCAAGACACCGATATGGCTGGTCCATTGGTCTTCTGTTTGGCATTAGGTGGATTTTTACTTTTGGTAAATATTAACATTGCGTCTATTTGTTTGTTACATGAATAATAATCACAACTTAAATGTATTCTTTTTTCAGAGCGGCAAGGTGACATTCTCTTATATTTATGGTATTGGAGTTATGGGTAGCATTGCATTCTATTGTTTACTCAGCCTTATGGCATCACAAGCAAATGTTACATTTGGTGCTGTTGTCTCGGTTTTGGGTTATTGTTTATTACCCATGGTGGTGTTATCTGGGGTTAATGTTTTGATAACAATACAGTAAGTAAATGATATTAAAATGAATTAAAAAATGTAATTAAAGTAATTCAAATAGCTGTTCACTACAAATATTAGTGAGAAATTCAATTTTATTTTAGACTAAATTTTTATTTTTTCTGTTATTATTATTTGTATTATTATTATTTTTTTAATGAAATTTGAATCAATTGCTTATTCAGCTGGAATTGCACAAAATTAAAATGAATGAACACATTTGATTCAGTTATATTACTAGAGAAACTGACTGTTAATAATTATGTAGTCTTATTTTTACTTTTGACAATATTATTATTATGCATTTATTAACAAATCTAATAAAAAATTAATATTTGTTCATCTTTTTCTTCCAGGGGAACACTCGGATTAATTGTTGCTGGTGTATGCATATTTTGGTGTTCTTTGTCAGCATCCAAGCTGTTTGTAACGGCATATTCAATGGATCACCAACAGGTTTTGATTGCCTATCCATGTGCCCTACTGTATGGAGTCTTTGCTTTAATTACAATTTTCTAAATCAACTAAATATGTTATTTGTAATTTTTTGTTTCATAAATATAGTTTAATACTTTTATCATTTAATACGAAATAAAAGAAAAATCGAATTACTTATTATTTTTGTTAACTTTATTGGGTAATCCTGTAAATATAAAGAAGATGTAAAAACTAAGAGATAGAGCGGGTATGTTAATATTTTTTACGTAAATCAGGTAAAGAATTTGTCTCAGAAATATTTTTCAAATTTATAAAAATGGACAAATTTTTTGATGAGAAATTCTGAAGCATTGACCCAGATACTTGATAAAATGGTTTACTGATAACAGGATCACCAAGGATCAATTGCGTATATTTGCAATCGTTAAATTATGTTTATGCTTTTTTCATTATAATTTAAGTTTATGCTAGGTATAAGAGGAATTTAAATAAATTTTGTATTGTGTAACTATCAATGGCGTTTTGGCTTTGATGCAAAAACCTGAAATAAATTAAAAATTATAATCAACAGGACACATATAACGGATTAGAGTTTAAAAAAATGTGGACAAATCGGTTCATATTATTTGAGTAACGAACAAATGATATTTTTGTAAGGAGAAATTTATTGTTCCAGAACTAATGTCCTAACTAAAGTGGCTTCCAGCGCTTTTTTCACCTACTTGGTTTGGAAAATATAATTAGGTTCTCGAATGTGACTATAAGTGATATCGATTGAAAATATTTGGATCCCCGACTGACACTCATAAAATCTTAAAATGTATTTAGCAAAGATCGATGTAGTTTTTATCTTTGAAATTTCTAAATGGAATGTCAGTACTCTTTCGCTATCTTAACATATTCTTCAGGATGATGATATTCGTAATACGGAACGACATCCTACAGACATTTCAAAACTTATGGCTTATTTATTATATGGTACATGTTAATAAAAATGCATTTAATGTTCATAAAATCTATACTTTATTTCAGTCATAAATCATATTTCTAACCTACAATATTAGTTGCACCTCTCAGTGCTAAATATCCTTGTATAATATCGGAAGGTAGTGTTCTTATGATGCGAAATTCTTCGGCATTGTGATAATGTAGTTTTGTCTGTGGATCTGTATATGGTGCTTCCAATCCGGAAATATCAGAATATTTTTTGGCCGGTTTTAACGACGGAGGTGCATTAAGAGAATTATCTGCAATGATACAAACGATTTTTTAGTATTCCAACATAATATATACATTTTAAGACTTACACAAAACTACATCTTCCGGCCATGGTAATGCTCTCTCTTGGGTAACTATTTGTTTTAGGGATTTCCAAACAAACTTCTTACCACCAGTTTCAATGTAACTATATTTGGGATTTTTACATGTGATTTTCGGTCGTTGTTTTACTGTTGGAGCTGTGATTGGTGAGGGTGCATCTGATGCGGTGGTGTTGGTATTATTCACATCGTTTGTTTTATTGTCCTTATCGTCAGATGGCTCATCATCCTTTGTTGGTGGTACAGTTCCATTGCTAGACTTGGATTTTTTACAAGGAATCTCTTCTGCATCCATTGGTCAGTGGTGGATGGATGATAGCAGCAGTAGTATTGACGGAGTGGTAAATTTGTGTACTCTATTTGTATGGTCTTTCTTAAAAGATGTTTACTTTAATAATAGCATCTGAATATTTAATTAACAAGCACACCTATTGTGTTGGTAAACAAAAAGTCAATTGCGGTACTACACCCCATCAGCTGTTCGTATACAAACCACACACATGAGTAAACTATGTAAAAACGGCCACAGTTACGTTGTCCACAAAAACAAAAGTAAACAAAACACCACAAACACAAACTAATTGAGTCAATTGACCATCAAACATATGAAGAAGAAACGGATTTCATAATACGGCAAATAATGTCCAATACACGACTAATAAACAATTTAAAACGCTTCCGGTTGGTGACATTTGATATAACCGATACATTGGTACGTTTTAGTAAACCACCTGCAATACAATATGCCAAAACCGCTGCCCAACTTGGAGTCACTGACATCGATCAAAGTACATTGGAGGCATGTTTCAAAAAGGAATTCAAAGCAATGAAGAAACAACATCCCAACTGGGGTTACCACACACCGAACTTTACCTGGCAGGAATGGTGGACATCGCTTGTAAAAAATATTTTCCTTTGTGTAAAACCCGACATTGATCCTAAGAAACTACAAGAGGTAGCGGAAACTTTAGTACGTATCTATCGTACCAAGGAATGTTATTGCCACATGGATGGTGGAGTTGAATTAGTTGATAAGGTACGAAATAGTGGCAAGAAAATTGGTGTGATATCAAACTTTGATCCCAGTCTCAGGCAAGTTCTGGAAGAAGTAAAATTAGCTGATAAATTTGATTTTATACTCACGTCATATGATGTGGGTTTTGAAAAACCTCACAAAGAGATTTATGACGCCTGCTTAAAAAAGTGCAATGTACAGTCAAATGAAGCACTACATATAGGAAATATGTATGCTATGGATTATGAAGGGGCCCGTAATGCTGGCTGGAGCAGCATTCTTATTACATCCAACGAAGAAGATCTCGAAAAAACTCAACCAACTCATGGTTATCGAAATATTAAAGATTTACTAAAGGCTTTAGACAATGAAGGTATTAAATGGTAGTTTAATAAGATAACTCTTTCGGTGTGTTTGCATAAATATCTATGTGTATATGGACTGTAAGTATTTGTTGTTTGGCACATTCATTTATGGAAATTCAAATGGACGGGGAACAATTCTATTATGGTAATAATAAATATTTGCAATGTAGGCTAAAATATTCACTACGACCGCAAGTTGTTTCTTGCATTTTTAAATAATTTAATGAGAATTTTTTTATCCATTAATATATTACTTTTTATTCTATATTTTATGCTTTAAAGAGAACCATTATTATTAAGCAGTTTCTGAACAAACAAGAACAGATGATACTTCTTCAAGAAATATAGTCAAGTATATTCGTATGCCCTCCACCATGATATGGACATTCAAAACACCTAAAAACGACCGGAACTTTTATATGGGGACTATATCAAGAACCAAATGTACGTATGTACAAATTTTTACTACGATCGAAAAATAAAAACTAACTGACTGTTATAGTACGAAAGTGTACTAATCGATTAAAGGGAGTACCGTTACAAGGAACCTATGCCGATGGAACAAGCCACATTGATTGAAATTGTAATCAGTTGGTAGCAGTGCCCTACTTTGTAATAATTATACCATCCAGAAAATAAAAACGGATTAAATAGGACTTACTGAGTAAATTTTACTGGAAAAGTATAGAAGGATGACATAGAAAACAATTTATTATTGAGTGGTAGTTCACCGCTTTGCTTATTTTTGTCCTAATTTAGATTAGGCGTGTTTACTTGCGGCAAGTTTTTGTTTGTAGGAGAGAGGGGCAAGGGGAATAGAAATGGAAAACCAGTAAGGAAAGAAGTAAAGTCGAACTGGGCCGACTATATGATACCCTTCACCCCTTTGGATATATTCTACATATGTATCCTAAGCTATGCCAAAATTCCTGCAAATGAAAAGATTTCCAGGGACTTTGGTGCACCATTTACCTAAACTCGGGCGAAACTATATATAGGAGCTATATCTAAATCTGAACCGATTTTCACGAAACTTTGCACACATCATTCTAGACTTAGTTCAGTACGCTTTGCCGAAATTCGTGCAAATGAAAAGATTTCCAGGGACTTTGGTACACCATTTACCTAAAATTGGGGGAAACTATATATGGGAGCTATATCTAAATCAACCAATTTTCATGAAACTTAGCACACATTATTATAGACGCAATTCAGTACGCTATGCCAAATTTCGTGCAAATCGAAAGATATATTCTTTTTTTTTTTCTTGAGGAGATGCGAACACGTGTCGAGCTATGTTTTGATGGTGTACCAATTTTATTGAATAACATGTTCTGTTTTAATATGTCGTCGAGAAGTACGCAAATTTTCATACCCAGGATATACAACTCCACATTTGAAAAATCCTTTTTAATACGTGTAGCTAGATTGTGGAATTATTTACCGGTTGAACTTAGAATTTTCTCGCACTCGAATAATGCTTTTCGTTTAAAGCTGTTGAGCTATTATGAACCTGAGCATTAATGGAGGTATTTGTAGAATTTTCTGACACATTAAATATTTTTTGTTTGGATGGCTTGTTTGCTACGTATTTCATTTGCGTGTAATGGAATTTATTACCTTTCTTTTGTATACATTGTTTGCTCTTCTGGTCAATCTTTGCAAATTTTTCATTCGTGTGATAGTTAAGGCTGGGGAGCCAATTATATAAGTAAGCATTTTTTTGATATTTATGTATTATTATTAGTTATTAGGACATTATGTCATTGTTAATACTATTTTTGGCCTTGGAGGCTTATGTATTATTGAATGGAATAAATAAATAAATAAAAATAAATAAATAAATATAGGACCTTTGGTGCACCAATTACCTTAAATCGGATGAAAATATATATGGGAGCTATATCTAAATCAGAACCGATTTTCACGAAACTTTGCACACATATATATATATATATATACATATATATATCCCAGTATCAATTCAGTACGCTATGACAAATTTCGTGCAAATCCATTTACATGAAATCGGAGGAAACTATATATGGAACCTATATATAAATCTGGACCGATTTTCACGAAATTCAGCACAAATCATTCCAGCATCAATTCTGTACGCTTTGCCAAATTCCGTGCAAATCGAAAGATGTATGTGGACTTTGGTGCACTATTTACATGAAATCGAAACCAATTTTCATGAAACTTAACACACATTATTATAGACTCAATTCAGTACGCTATGCCAAATTTCGTGCAAATCGAAAGATATATAGGATCTTTGGTGCACCAATTACCTTAAATCGGATGAAAATATATATGGGAGCTATAACTAAATATGAACCGATTTTCACGAAACCATTCTAGGCTTTATTCAATACGCTATGCCAAAATTTGTCCAAATCAAAAGATTTCAAGGGACTTTAATGGACTATTTACCTAAAATCGGACGTAACTATATATGACAGCAATATCTAAATCTGAACCGATTTTCACGATACTTTGCACACAACATTCTAGACTTAATTCAGTACGCTATGCCAAAATTCGTGCAAATCAAAAGATTTCCAGGGACTTTAGTGGACTATTTACCTAAAATCGGACGTAACTATATATGGGAGCTATATCTAAATCTGAACCAATTTTCACAAAACTTTGCACACATCATTCTAGACTTAATTGAGTACGCTATGCCAAATTTCGTGCAAATCGAAAGATATATAGGGGCTTTGGTACACCGTTTACCTTAAATCGGACGAAAATATATATGGGAGCTATATCTAAATCTGAGCCGATTTTTCCCAATTTCAATAGTGTTCGTCCTTGGGCCGAATAAGTGACCTGTGCCAAATTTCATCCAATTTGGATTATAAATGCGACCTGTACTTTGTTTACAATTTAACATGGACAGACAGACGGACGGACGGACATGCATAAATCGACTCAGAAAGTGATTCTTTTATTTGACACGCACACAAAATATATATTTTGTTTTGACAGAAACAAACCTAAATGAAGAAATATTATATATGATAGACCCAAATGGGTATGCCATTATTATTTAAACACGTAGCGATTATCTAACAATAAATTTATAATGGGTTTAGTAAGCTTTCTTTGTATTGATACATGGTATAATAATAGAAGGTAACAGCAAGTGTTGTACAAAAAACGATACAACAACCACATGGAAATTTGTTGTTGTAAGTTCTACTAGTGTCAACTCATTTGACAGAAAAATGTAAACAAACAAACAAATTATCATCAAATTATTTTTATTTTGAAAATTAAATATTTTCGAATCCTCAAAATAAAAATTGAAAAACATGAATGAAAATCTTTCAAATTTATATTTCTATCGCGTCCACATCTTTCCTTTAATTGTGCCATTGCCACATATATGTATAACACATATGAAAATGCTGGGAATAGCGAGTTATTCCTTGAAGAAAGATTTGCTTCCTGAAACTTGCCCAGCAGGCAGATTGAGTAAATTGAATACGGGAGCACATTTAATAAAGAACAATTTCAAATTGTATGCGTTCCCAATTTTCCTGTTGGGTGATTTTTAAAAACATAATTTGTCAAATTCATATTTTTTTTTTTTTTTTTTCTTTAATCGTACTTTCCCACGCCTCACTTTCCCACCCCTGCCGACCGAGGGGGCGACCTCCCCTTTCGTAGGGATCGCGTACGCATCATAATCCGCATTATGATGGAATATGAGAAGGGATAGAAAACCAGCTACAGAAATCTACTTCAACAGCCAGTTTGTTATTAAGTTGTATTATTCATTTAAAAATATGATTATATTAGATTTTATTAGGTCTATATTCATGCAAAAGTCTACGTTAGAATACACAGAATTGAAATCAATACACATTTTACTAAGTGGATCTCCCATAGAATAATTTGTGCGATGAAAATCTACGTATAATGGTTGATAATATCTACTTGATCGAAAAGGAACATTTATTCTAATGGATGAAATTAGGAAGTCTGAGGGTATATTACCGCTTAGTATTTTAATTACTATCATAGTGTTCAACATAATACGTCTACTTTTTAATGTTGGCAATCGAATTAATTTTAACCTGCTAGTGTAAGAAGGCAACACAAAGTCACTATTCCAATGTAAACCTCTCAGCGCAAAAATTAGAAATTGTTTCTGCACTGATTCAATTTTATCGGAATAAATTGTATATTGGGGATCCCATACAACAGAACCATATTCTAATATGGGTCGCACAAGAGATGTAAAAAGTTGTTTTGTAATGTAGGGATCAGAGAATTCTTTAGCCCATCGTTTTATAAATCCTAAGACACCGTGGGCTTTGTTTACCATAGAAATAACATGATTATTAAAATTTAATTTTGGATCCATTAAAAATACCAAGATCAACAAATGAATCAACAGTTGATAAAACAGTACCATTAATATTGTATTGCCTTATTAAAGTAGAAGATCTGGAAAAACACATATGCTTACATTTGTTTAGGTTTAAATCCATACAGTTTAATTCGCACCATTGAAAAAGGTTATTTAAATCATTTTGAAGTAAATCAGCTTGCTTCATGGAGTTATGGGTGATAAACAACTTGACACCGTCAGCATACATTAGCAATTTGGAGTGGATTATTGCATTTGGTAAATCATTTATAAATAGAAGAAAGAGGAGTGGACCTAAATGACTTCCTTGGGGAACGCCGGAAGGAACATTAATGGATTTGGAGAGACAATCATCAAACAAAACTACCTGTGATCTATTTCTCAAATAAGATGATATCCATTTAACTAAATTTATACTGAAACCAATTTGATTTAATTTATATATTAAAAGTTCATGGTTAACCCTGTCAAAAGCTTTACTGAAGTCAGTGTAAATCGTGTCGGTTTGATTACGCTGAATAAAACCTTTTATGATTTTGGAATTGCACTTAATTTAGCAATTCCTCTATAATTCGAGACATTAGTTAAGCTACCAGATTTGTGTAAAGGAACTATATAGGATTTCTTCCAGAAGGTCGGAAAATGACTATATTTCAGGGAATAATTAATATTGGCACTAGTATTACGTTGGAATCAAATCAGCTGGGATTTGCTGTTACCTTTTATAATTATACCATGGTATTGATAATAAATTAAATATGTTTTAATTTAAATCTTTATAAATATCTAAGCAAATTAAAAGAAAATACAATTAAAATTACTCGTTTTTTAATACATTTTATGTAAACCTAGCATTTTAGCGCATAAATACGAAGCGTATATACGCCATACAAGTCGTACAACGTACGTTGCGCTCCTGATTAAACAAAACCGAATGAACTGTCAAGTGAATATCAAGTCTGGGTATGGAAATGTCAAAATTTTATACTTCCGCTGCCGAGACCACTATTTCTTTCTTTTCCCAGTATCCGTCGTTGGAGGTGGGTGCTTTTTCCAACACAGAATATTCATAAATAAATTTATTTTTTTTTGTTTTATAAGTTCGAAATAATGAAATCATTCTTTATCTTTTTAGAACTGTCATTGATTTTAAATCAATTCAAAACAAATAAAAGCTAATCAACATGGTTGCCGTCAAGAAGACTGTAAGTTATTTTTACACGTGTTTTTCCTATTTGGTTCAGCACTAACCTGTATTTTTTCCTCTTTATGATTACAGAAAAAGGCTTTGGATTCCATCAACTCCAAATTGGCTTTGGTGATGAAATCTGGCAAATACTGCTTGGGTTACAAACAAACCTTGAAGACTTTGCGTCAAGGCAAAGCCAAATTGGTGCTCATTGCCACCAACACTCCTGCCTTGAGGTGAGAATGAATCGGTGTATAATGGACGATGTTTTAATTAAAACTTGGAACAAAATCAAATCACTTACCTAAGTGCAATTGTGCTGCGGGAACCATATGGAGTCTTGCGAGACTGAGAAGTATGATTCCTCAATAAGCAAATGCATTTGAATATTGTTGTTGCTGCGGCACTCTCTTAATGCATGTGCAGATTTATGATCAAAAATACTACTCGCAAAAAATGGATATGAGAATCTTCCATGTGTGCGTGTGTGTAACAAGACTTCATCGGGTTCCTGCTGCATGTATTGTATACAAGTAAGTTTTTTGTAGTAAGAGGTTCAAACCAAGACTGAAAAATCGTTTTTTTATGATGAATGTATTATGCAGACAATGTTATGTTGAAACATATTTTACTAGAGACTCTTTCTGATGAAAACAGAAAAGTTTTTTCTTTGCAAAAAAAACTGGCTTTGTTTTGAAACTAATGAATATTATTTGTTTCTATTTTATAGAAAATCTGAAATTGAATACTACGCCATGTTGGCCAAGACTGAAGTTCAACACTACAGTGGTACCAATATTGATTTGGGTACCGCCTGCGGTAAATACTTCCGTGTGTGCACCATGTCCATCACCGATCCTGGAGATTCCGATATTATCCGTACTGTCGGTGAAAACTAATTTGTAGACTAATATTTTATTAAATATTATTTTCTTAAAATAAAAATCTACAAAATTATTTTGTAAAATTTATGAGTTTTTTTATTGGTATAAATCGAAACTTACAAGTATAGCTTAAGGCCCAATCACTGATCTTTTTACTATATGTAGTCCTTAAGGCCCTGATTACAACGTTATAAATTATTTCTTGCGAAAATCCATATTTTCGGAGATATGGACCATTAAATTGGTTTTCAGATTAGGGGATTTTGTCACCAATATTACCAGATCGCTTCTAAAAGTAGTTCTTGTTGGCCGGGGATACTTACAAGTATAGCTTAAGGCCCAATCACTGATCTTTTTACTATATGTAGTCCTTAAGGCCCTGATTACAACGTTATAAATTATTTCTTGCGAAAATCCATATTTTCGGAGATATGGACCATTAAATTTGCGCTTGTATTTTTTCATGACTTAAAATGTACAAAGACAATATGAGTATTTTATTAAATCGTAATTTTGTTGTCAAAGAAATCCATACTAGCTGGGTACTAAATAGGATTACAACCGCTTTAGGAACAAGTTGAGTTTAGGGGCTCGTTTCAGATTACTAAACATATTACCTTAGCGATTTTTAAAAATCATGAGAAAACCCTTATCTGAACGATATTAAGGAGGCCAATATCTCCGGAATAACGGATTTCCGAAAGAAAACGGTATACCGTCATAATCAGGGGCAAAGTAAGAACATATTTCTAAGGCGATATTTGCTGTCGAGTTATTTTACAACTCGCGAAGTCGAGATAATTATTAGGCTTATATGGATAGGATGATTAAAGTCCTAAAAACTGTAAATTTCTACGTCCATTATAAAATTGAGAATAGGCAGCTATAAAACCAATAACTGTACAATTAACCCTTTGTAACTTTTTTTGAATAAAAATGCTGTAAAATTTTCTATAATGGAGATATTTGGATCAAATTTTGAGGGATCATTTTGAGGTATTTTCATACATAATTATAAATATTTTCCATATATATAATTTTTACAATTTTTTACGAGTCCCCCTGGCCCCATGTTGTCTAGGGACACAAAAAATTGCAGAGGGATTCGGGAACATCTAATTTAACTAAAAGCTATAACGAATTTAATATATATAAAAATATATTATTTTAATGTATATAATGTTGAGTTCCTAAATCTAGATCAGATCCGTATAGACTAATTTAAAACAAAACCCGCACGATAGTCCAACTTTTTTAATGAATTACAGCGCTATCTTTGGATGGGCACAAATGTACCACAATTATTGATCTTTTGGTTATTGACCGCAGGGTTAATAGGAGCAGGATATGGAGGATCGTGTTTGCCATGTTATCTAATATTTATCTTGTATAACTTTCAAATTTAATTATAGATACATCGGTGGTTTCGTTTGCAATTATGGGTTATTTTAGTACATAATTGCTGATAAAGCTTCTCAAATCTTGAATTTGATGTTTAACTTCCACTTGCCAATTAGATGGAAAAATGTTTTAATTTATTTTTGTAATACATTCATTTATCAAAAATAAAAGAATCCAAAATGCAAAAAAAAAACGATATTTAAAAATATAATTTCATAAAACTACCAAATTATTTTAATTTTTAATTACCGGAATTATAAAAAATTTCCGGCATTTTGTGGTAAACTAGCTCCGAAGTCTACTACGGGATACTTGATAGTTTATAGTAAAGTCAAAGTAGGTGAACGTAAGTTGTGTTTATTTTTGACCTACATTCTGATGTTTAGCATTATTTGCTTGCATTTTACAATAAAATACCCACCCCATCAATGTAATACTAATCATGCGCATTTGTCATCTTTGCTCAACCTAGTTTTCTTATTTTTTACAATAAAATCCTAACCAAAACCCGTAGTCCATAAGAAAGGTCAATTAATTTAAAAAATATTGTTTAAAAATATGTCGGAAAGAAAATTTTGTTGTCTATGTGTTAGTTTATGTTCATCATATAAAGATTTGTTCAATGAGCAGGGGGAGGCAACTGCTTACTATGAAATAACATTCAAATACTTTGATCCAGTGGTGAGTATTCCAAACATGTAAAATAAAATACATATCTTATAATAAATTGAATTTGGGTTTATTTACGTCCAGTTGCTGAACGCTGAAGACGACAAAGATTCCAATGTAGTTTGTCTTAAATGTTGGAATACCATAGACGACTTCTATGAATTTCAAAAGGTCATACAAAATGCCCATCAAGATTTACAGGAAAGTTTAAGGGAGATTGCAAAGGAAGCTTTGAGCGTTGACGTTGAAAATAGTTTGGAAAGATGTCATTTGGAAAATCTAAATACTGAAGTGCAGAATGGAGTAAGCAGTAACGAAAATTCGGATTATTCTGATTTTGAAATAGAATCTAGCATTGAACTTGATGAAGATGACAAATCACTGAATTTAGACTTATCAAGCGCAAAAGAGAATATTACAAATATAAGAAAGAATATTAAAACCCCAACCCCAAAAGACGTACAGCTAAAGGAACCTTTAAACACAGATGAAATTATTGCCCAATGGAAGCCATCACTGGAATGCGTAGTATGCTCCATTAAGACAACGACTTTCGGTTTACTTCGGACACACTTCCGAATACACCACCCCGATCAGAAATGCTACATTACCTGTTGCGAGCTTAAATTTTCCAAACGATGTGACATTTATGAACACATACAACTCCATCTTGATCCCAATACATTTAAATGTAACGTTTGTGGCAAGTGTAGCACGAATAGACGCAACTTAGCCAAACATATGAAGGACTTACATACGAAAGAGGGACAAATTCGTCCATTTGAATGCGACATTTGCCAAAGACGTTTCAAAAATCAAACCAAGTTGCGTACACACAAGGATATACATAAAACGGAATATCTGTTTGCATGTAGTAAATGTGGCAAAGGATTTTCAACGGAACAACGTAGGAAAGTACATGAAAATCTGGTGCATGATGTCGATAGGGTTTGTGATCAATGTGGTAAGGTCATACACGGTATATATGCCCTCAAAAAACATCTATTGGAACATCAAGGTGTAGAGAAACCTAAATGGCCGTGTGATCAATGTGATGTGCAACTTTATTCCCATTCAAGTTTAAAGCGTCATAAACAAATAAAACATCATGATGGCACCACTGTATATAAATGCGCCGATTGTGGTAAACGTTATCCATCTGAAAGTGCTTTATATAGTCATAAGCGATTAGTTCATACACTGGAGCGTAAACACAAATGCAGTATGTGTGAAAAATCATTTAAATTTCCCAAAGGTTTAAGAGAACACATGGCATCGCATAAAGGCATTAATCTATATCAATGTCCACATTGTCCAAAAACATATCGAATGAGTTCCAATCTACATAATCATCGTAAAAAGGCACATCCTGAAGAATTTGATAAAACTCGCAAGAATAAACCTGTTAAAAATAAACTCAACGTTGGCCTTATACAAACAGAAATTGTTATGTGAATTACGGCCGTTATTACGAACCGAGATTAATGACTACATTACATTATCGTTATAAAAACTTTGGTTTTAACTTATTAATATGGATAATAGTGAAAATTTATATAGAGAAAATTTGTTATATTAGTTTTTATGTAGAATTTCACTTTTTGTATAACTTTAATAACTTAATTATTTCTAATGATGAATCTAAAGTACGTATCTATTTCAAATTTAAATATGTACCTGTATACTTTGTAACAATCTAGACTAGTATATCTGTGTAGATAAAGTAATAAAATAGCATATATAAAACAAAATGTTATTGCTTTATTGCTTTTCAGTAAAAATCGTCTATTAATTGAAATTGTTTTCGATTTTATTTATTTCAAAAAAAAAAAAAAATGCAAACTGAAGCCTTTAAAGTCGATTTAACTTAAATTACAAACCATAATACTACAATATAACAGCAAAATCTTAAGGACTATATCTTAGAAAGATATGATAATCCTAAAATATAATAGTATGCAGTTTTTAATTGTTAGACTACTAAAAAAAATGAAACGTTTTCACAACCGCACCGTAAAAAAACTTATATAATATTTTATAAATACAACTAGGTGCAGCTAAATTGAAACTACTGTATTATTTTTTGGAAATAAGGCTTGTTGTGAAATTATACAATGTAAATTTGTAACGTCGTAGTCATATTGCTGATTCTTGCTGCTATAACATTTGCTCAGTCTGTGCATACGGAAACTTCTTACCCGAATTTTTTCCGCAATCTTAGAACAAATTTCTGTTCACAGATTTAATGCAACTATCCTAAAATTGAGATCGCTACATCCTTGCATTCGAGAGATACAGTACATTCTTTCTGAAAAATTAAAGTCCAATATCAAAAAACCCAAATGCAAAATCGACAGAAAAATTAATTAATTAAATTAATCTTTATATTCATTTTTACAAGAATCAAAATTAATTCTGATGGTAGAATTCGTACAATTTGAATACGAAGCGATTTAAATAATTTGGACTGTATAAACAAATTAGTACTGCAGATTTGACAGTTGTGTTACTGAATATTTACAAATTTTTACAAGGAAAATTTACTCAGTAAGAATTTTCTTGTAACATCTGCGGATATATAATCAGCTGTTTTGTGATGTTTTGTAAACAAACAACAAAAATGTTCTGAAGACTATTGTTTTGATTGTTTTGAGAACGAAAAGTTCGTATTTACTCTCTGCAAATTCTTACTGAGTAAATGTTACTGGGAAAGTAAAGGAACGAACTTTATTTATTTCAATCTTAACATGTATAACGAATCCTTTAGGCCAATAAATGTAATACATTATGCAAAACAGTATGATTTAACAGAACTTAATGTCGAATACCATGACTATCCCTTATAGCGACCAATTTCGCCGGTCTTTTGGCCGTTATTATAACATTAGGTTCGTTCGTTTACTCAGTAAAAATTTGCAGAGAGCAAATATGAATTTTTTGTTCTCAAGAGAGAAAATTACAGAAAGTAAACGAACAACAAAACGGCTGATGGTACAAGAAGAATTCTTATGGATTAAATTTTCTTGTAATAATTTGCAAATACTCAGGAACACAACTGTCAAATCTCTCTCCCCCTCTCTCTATTCACTCTCTTTTACTGGACTTTTGGATAAACGAACAATATTTTGTAATAATTTCTATATAAAGGATTGAGTAAACGAACGAACCTAAATCTCATTAGTATTGGTCTATTCCAGTACCTTTTTAATAGTAAGTCCTGATTTAGATTAGGCGAATTTACTTGCGGCATTTCTTATCGTTCACTTTTGAACTTGCTTCATGCGTCTATACAAGGCAATTCGGTTGCAAACATATATTTTCTCTCTCAAGCAAACAAAGACTTGCCGCAAGTAAACTCGCCTAATCTAAATTTGGACTAAAGCTAGTAAAAGGGAAACATTTCAAAATCGCTCTCAGAGTACAAAATAATTTCAACAGTTCAGGAACGCAAATCTGGTAAATATACCAAAATTAGATGGCAATACTTCAAAATCAACATAACAGCCAATCAGAAATAGGCATTCCTGTTTACCATTTTTACTCGACCAAATTTCTCGAGTAAAAGGTCTTCAAAGAGAACGCTATTTTGTTTTAAATTTGAGTCAATGTTTCACCTGAGGAACGGTTTACGAGTAAAAAGTTGCAAAGCTTGTAAAATTAGTAGAATCTTTTAGGTTCTAGAACGGAACTTATATATTCATTTAAGTATTATATGCTTCAGGTCTTCTACCGGCTGTATTAGGCGACAATGGAATCGTTTTTAAATTTGTTTACCATGGACAGGTGGAAAATTCGGTCACGCGAAATGAAAATTCCCTTTAACTACTGATTCTCAATATTTGCAATGCCCCATTTCTAAACAATTTGCCGTTATCCATCACACTCATTCGTAAACACAGATGTAAATCAACTATTTTGTTTTGTGTTCGGTCTTTATCGACCAATCTTCTTGTCTCCTATCACGTCGAGTAATCATTTCGAAGTGAATAGCACGTTCGGTGCGTTCATTACACGGAATCGTTGCTTTGAACCAATAAGTAATGAAAAAATAAATACTGATGTTGTTATTCTTTATTTTTAATTTATTTAATGTAATTCATAAAGCAAAAACAAAAAATGTACGATAAAACTTTGTGTCGCTTATGTGTATCCTCGCGATCGGAATACAAAAGCCTGTATGACGACAATGGTCAGGGCAATGAAGTCTATGAAATTACACTAAAGTATTTCGACCCAATAGTAAGTTTGGGATACACTTGCTGGGAGAGGTTATTGTTGTTATTTTAATTATTTCTATTCTTTTAAAGTTGCTAAGCCCGGCTAATGAACAGGATTCAAAAGTTATATGCATGGAATGTTGGTGTCACATCAGTGAATTCTATGGTTTCCAACAGTCTGTACTTCAGGCTCAAGCAATACTGCAGGCACAGTTGGAGAACGATGTTAAAGAGCATTTACCAGAGGTCAAGTTAGAAGAGGAATTGCTGCAGGATCGAGATGAAGCTGCACCGATTGTCGATAATGGCAATGATAGCCTTAAGGATGAAAAAAACAACGTTGTCACAGATGAATTTGAAAACGAATATGATGATTGTGGCTTTGGAGATGATAATCCATTTTCAAGTGATGAGGATGAAAAACCACTTATCGAACATATTAATAGAATCAACAAAAGAAAAAACATGGCAAATAAGTTAAACGAAGAAAATACTGAGATATATGACACAGAAAGAGTGGCTGGTAAAAGGCAAAGAAAACCTCGAGGCCCTAACAAAAAACAAAAGGACACAACGACGTCTACAACAACAAATGGAACAAAGACAAATCGGAAAGGAAGGCCAAGGAAGTTGCAACATCTTGATAATCTAGAAGAAAAACCAGAACCCTTAGATCCCGATGCATCCGCCAATGAAATGGAGGATGAAACATTTGATGACGGTTCTAATGGCGACAAAAAGTCGGTTAAAGACAAAACTAAGGAATGTGATGAGTTCATTGCACAATGGAAACAGGAATTGGAATGTGTATGCTGTCCAGCAACGGTCTCAAATTTCACATTGCTACGCAAACATTTTCGTCAAATGCATCCAACAGAAAAATGCTATGTTATATGTTGTCAGCGAAAATTCTATCATCGTTTTCACATTGTGGAACATATACGCCTGCATATTGATCCGAATGCCTTTAGATGTGACGAATGCGGTCGATGTAGTACCAACAGTCGTAACTTGGCGAAACATAAACGGGAAATGCATACGGAAGAGGGCAAACAGAGGCCATTTGAATGTGATGTGTGTCATAAAAAGTTCGCAAACAAAACCATCCTGCGAACACACATGGAAGTCCACGAAGCTGGTCGTGATTATGTTTGCAGCGAATGTGGCAAAGGCTTTCCATCGGAAAATCGACGAAAAATACACGAACGTATGGTACATCAAGCCGATCGTGTTTGTGATCAATGCGGCAAGACCATACATGGCATTTATGCCCTCAAATTGCATTTGATGGAACATGCTGGCTATAAGAAACCCAAATGGCCCTGTGATGAATGCAACGCCCAACTCAATTCCCATTCAAGTCTGAAAAGACACAAGCTAATCGCACATCACGATGGCAGTACGGTCTATATATGTAGTGAATGTGGAAAAGTTTTTACATCGGAGAACGCTCTGCGTAGTCACAAAAGAATTGTTCACTTAATAGAGCGTAAATTCAAGTGTAACATATGTGAGAAGGCCTTTAAGTTTCCGAAAATTTTACGCGAACATATGGCCTCACATACCGGTGAAGATCTCTATCAGTGTCCACATTGTCCGAAAACGTTTAAAGTTAGCGCCAACATGCATCATCATCGAAAAAAAGTTCATCCGAAAGAATGGGCAGAAGCTAGAATAAATAAACCGGTAACGAAGAAAGTAGATATAGCTTTGGTATCCAATGAAATTATTATGTAAGAGTATAAAATATGTAGATGATGTAAGAGATAAAATATATTTTTTTTTTTTTTTTTTTTTGTAAAACAATAAACAGTATATTGTAAAAGTAATGTAATTTCGAATTTGGTTTTTTTTTTTAATTAATTTGTGTAAAATCGGAACATATTTCAATGATATAATAGAACATCATTACAGAGTTGTATTTATCATAGTTTCTCTAACGAAATCTACACATTTCAGTTGGTAGCTGTGCCCTACTTTGTAATAATTATACCATGGGTTGATTCAATTCAAAATTCTCACTTTAAAAAAAGTCAAAAAAATTTCATTGAGAGGTTTAAAAATTTTCAATTACTTTTAGCATTTTGTAGATATTACGAATAGTTTTAGATTTTGCATTGGTACACGGAAAGTAGCATGAAAACTAGACTATCAGTGTAATTGTGTCAATTTTAATTTTTTACGCAAAGCAAAATTCATCACAAAAATGTTCGATATTATTGAAGCAAATAGAAAAAATCGAATCCAACCAATAATAAAAACAACAACAAAGAATTTGGAATCCAGAATGGAGTTACTGATTTTCATCTTCCGTGTAAAAACGACTTCTTTAATAAAAAAAAAATATCTTATATGTAATAAGTGAGGTAATTTTTTTTAAAATTCAGCCGAAGTATAACTATAGTTAGTAATATCAATAAGCGGGACAATCTTATTTTTCGAAATTCGCAGATGTAAACATAACTACATTTTAATGATATTTTTAATTCCAATATCGGCATCTCTACTTATCAGCTGTTAATCAGTGTTCGCAAATAAACGGTACACTATCGTAATGTACCGTAGCAGGAACACAAACATTAAAAAATATTTTAGTGTTACTGTTCCGGGGCACAACAAAATTCGTAGTGTTCTACATCTTGGTACACTTAAAACGTTGGGTGATATGTTTAGCGTATAAAACAAAAATGAAATGTGGGATATAAAAATACTGAAAAATACTGTGACATATGAAAAATATACAAATGTATTAAAAACACCATTCTGAAGGAAGAGACATATATTCTGAACAAAGAGATTAATTTTTTAATTTAAATTAATAGATATTTATTTAAAATAACAATCTCTGATGACATGAATTAAGAATAGTGTGTTCATACAACACTATTCTTAATTCAGGGTTAATTCATGTAGGTTATTCTAAGAGCGAACTACGTTGAATCTTCGTCAGAATATGGTAATAGAAACCTAATCTGATTCTTATTAGCACATTTTGTCTAATATTCGAATATTTGAAACATTTTAACAGGAACATTCTGATTGAGTATATTGATCAAGAATCTACAAACATTCAATAAGAATAAAATTCATCAAAATCAATGAAAAAAGTTTTCACCATTAAAAAAAGCAAGAAAAAATGTTGCAAAGTGATAAAATATTAGATTCTTGCAGTACGGAGTATTTATGAAAAAAAAATCAAAATCAAAAAAAAAAAAAAAAAAATATCTTGAAGCATATTTGCATTTCCACGAATTTATTATCGAGCTATTTTTATTGCACCAGGTCGTAGTTGTTATTTTGAGATTGGTAGCGTATCATTCATTTAAGCTTTCATTTGTCAATCATTGAAAATTTTGAAAATATATTTTTTTTTTCAATTGGATTGACATTGTATTGAACATTTTTTGTAAGAATTTTAAAAATAATTGAGAAATATCATTGAATGTACACGTTTGCCATAGAATACCCGTATATTTGGGACAAATGCAAGGATGAAAATCAGAAGACATGCGGAATAGATTTCTGATTGTAAGATCCATGCCCAAGATTATTTTCTTAAAATAATAATAATAGTTCCATAGGGACATTTTATTTCTTAAAGTGCCTTAAATGTTGCTATGCAACGGGAAATCAGATGGCACCATTATATGGTGGTATTTGCCTAATCGTTGTTTAGTATCTTTGAACTTATAAACTCAATAACGCATATTTCCGATACTAATAATGTGTATCGCAGAGAAAACTGATATACCACTCATTTGCTGCAAGACAGGCATAACTCAAAAAACCTGATTTTCGAATTAATGACGAATGTTCGCTATAATAGATCTCATGTTGTGTAGAAATATCATATGAATCTCTCTTACACACTCTAATTGAGAAGCTGTAGAAGTTCCTCCATCCCATATAAAGTGTGAGTAAATTGAAAACTTAAACCGCATTTTCTGCAAAATCGTTTTTTATTTATTTATTTTTTTTTTTTTTTTGAGTTATGCCTGTCTTGCAGCAAATGAGCGATATGCTCGTAATATTTTCTGTCCAAAATTTTATCATTAAGTTCATATCAAAAAAAGTGATGTTACCTATTCGTATTGAACCTGTGACTATAAAATTACAAATACCTCAATATGTCAGGAGATCTAATAACATGTAAAAATTTTGTTAAGATTGAACTGTTCATACCTTCTCATATGTATATTCCTTAAATCTATCCGGACATTTATATTGGTACAATGTTACAACACTATTAGGTAGTAGGTTGTCCATGATCTTTAACAATAATGTTCAAAATTATAGACACTCAGGTTGGAAAAGGGGGAAAGAACATCAACGTACCGAATATTAAACGGGAAATATGTATAGCATACCCTATGAGAAAATTCGGTCAAAGTCTTTACAATTCGGAAAATGGAATGGGACCTATATGTAGGAGCATGGGCCAAAATAGAAATGTTTCCTCAATATCCCGTTATGGTATATTATAGGAAAATTAAACACCACATGAGAAAATACCAAATAATGGGGGATACTATTATATGGGGCTACACGGAAAATTGTACCAATATTGCTAATTTTTGGTAAAGAGGTTTTGATCATCCAAAATAAAACATTACAACCACTATGGTTGAGACACCGTTATATGAGAGCTACCTCAAAGAGATAATTTTAGTGCGATTCATTCTACCAAATAAGAACCAAATGCAAAATTACAGTCGATTAGATTTGAAAACGTGTCCAAATCCCCCACAGCATCAAAAAATGTGGGGTACTATTAGATGTGGGATATTTGGAAGCTTGGGCGAATAAAAAATTACACCCAAATACCGAATATTAAGGGATACCGTTATATGGGAGCTACCGAATACTTGGGTCAATATTGATATTATTATTTAGGGAGATTTTCTGTTCAATAAGTATTCCTAATATTAAATTAGAAGCAATTCTGTTGAACATTTTCAATATCAAATATCTTATAAGTAGAAATGTATGTTGGAGGGTGTATAAACAATATTGCTAGGCATGACAACGTTTGCGGGCCCGCTAGTTTGTTATAAAATTGTTTTATTGTTATAAAAAATTCCCCTCGACTTCTAGATCCCTAATCAATATTATCCTAAACCTCATTCGTAAACAATCCAAGTCTCCATCCCACCTCATTCGTAACTTTCCGTCTTCTTTTTTGATTTCTTCTTTACCGGGCATTTTGTCTTATCCCATTCGTAACAGGTGGAACGTTTTTCAATTTTCGAGGATTTAAATACAAGTACAATACAAATGTCAGTTTGCGATTTACATTTTGGCTAGATGGTCGATTATATATATACAATATTTTTGTAAACAAAATTTCCCAAAATTAATTATGGATAAATCCACTTTGTGCCGATTATGTGTTGAGATTTGCAGCGATTGTAAGAATCTTTACGATGAAGATGGTAGCTGTACACAAGTGTACGAAACTACTGTGAAATATTTCGATCCCATGGTAAGACTGTGGCCCACACTATGGAAGAAGAGAACTCGCAGCACATAGATATTCTTGTTTCTTTTATAGCTATTGAATTTGGAGGTGGACCAGAGATTTACAGTTATTTGTCTGCAATGTTGGCGTCACATTAGCGATTTCCATGAATTCCAGCAGGAGGTGTACAATGCCCAAACAAAATTGACGTTTGACATCAAGCAAACCGAAGATATTAAGACCGAAAATGATTTGCTGCTGCTGCAGGACCATGACATACCACTGGATATTGTAAAAGAAGATCCAATGGATGATAGTCTGTTGCTTGCTGATGTTAACGCTGACCTAGAGGAGGGTGATGATAAATATGAAATATCTTTACCCGACGATTTGTATGATGATGTACATCAGAATTCAATAGAGTTCAGTTCGGACGATGAAAAACCATTACTCGAATGCCTAAAGAAGACAAGAAAGAAACGTACTAAAACTAAAATTGATATAAGAAAGGAAGATAATGCCAAAGTTCCAAAAAAGCGTGGCAGAAAGCCCAAAAATACCGAGGTCCACGATAAGTCCACTGAAAATGTCATCAAAAACTCCGAAAATAATATAGATTTCCCATCATATGGTGATAATTCCCAAGATGGTCATTTGTCCTCCTCAGTTGGTGGTGACACCGATGACAATTCTGTCGGCGGTAAAGCTCCCTCGAAAAATGGCACCAAAGCAGGAAAACGCAGAACACAAGAAATAGACGAATTCATAGCCCAGTGGAAACAAGATTTGGAATGCGTTGTTTGTGGCCAACTTTATCCGAATCTTACATCGCTGCGAAAACATTTCCGAGAACATCATCCCAACCAGAAATGCTACATAACATGCTGCCAACGAAAGTTACGACATCGTTTCCATATCGAAGAACACATTCGCATACATCTCGATCCTAATGCCTTCAAGTGTGATATTTGTGGTAAATGCTGCACAACGAGTAGAAGTCTAAATAGCCATAAACTTGAAAAACACACGGCAGAAGGCCGGGAACGCATATTTGAATGTCCGATATGTCAGAAACGGTTTGCAAAGAAAACCGTTCTAAAATGTCATATTGAAACTCATAAAACCGGAACGGATTATGTTTGCAGCCAATGTGGCAAAGGCTTCGCAACGGAACAGCGTCGAAAGGTTCACGAACGAACCGTACACAATGTCGATAGGGTCTGTGATCAATGTGGCAAGACTATTCATGGTATATATGCTCTGAAACAGCATCTGTTGGAACATCAGGGTATTAAGAAACCTAAATGGCCTTGCGACATATGTAATGCCCAATTGTATTCACATTCCAGTCTGAAACGTCACAAACAGGTGGCTCACAATGACGGCAGCACCGTATACGTGTGTGGAGAATGTGGGAAAATTGCTGCAACAGAAACCGCATTACGTAGCCATAAAAAATATGTCCATCAAGCTGAACGCAAACACAAATGTACGATATGCGATAAAGCCTTTAAGGTGGCGGTGGTTTTACGCGAACACATGGCTACACATACCGGTGAAGATTTGTATACTTGTCCGCATTGTCCGAAAACGTTTAAAGTTAGCTCGAATATGCATCATCATCGCAAAAAGGCCCATCCCAAAGAATGGGCGGAGGGTAGGCTGAATCGGCCGACCATAGCTAAGGTTGATATTAATCAAGTATCAAATGAAGTAGTATTGTAAATAGAATAATTAGCTATTATAAAAAATATATACATAAAAATATATAATAAAATATTTCTAAAAAACATGATTGGTAGTTATGCATTTGTTCACGACTTTGTCTTTTAACAGCATACGACCCTAGTACTTCAATGAAGTCATTTATTGTTGAAATAAATTCTTTCCAATTGGAAAGGACATAATAAAATCACTGTTTGAAATTCGTATGTCAATGGATCACTATTAAATTATATATAATATATACTAAATTCCAAAGTTTCACTTTAATTTTTAGCATATAATTGTCAACCAATTGAAGATATATGGATGTTATAAAACTTATTATATGAATAGGTTGAAAATTTGGAAACGCAATCAAAAATTATTTTCATTTACACGTTTCTTTAAATAACCGCTCATATTACCTTCGTCGATTTCCGAACTTCAGATGCCAAGCTATAGAACAAATGCACTTTACGGATACCTCTCTGATTATTTGAAATTTCCGGAAGTTCGATGTTCTCCGCAAACAAATTCGGTAGAAAAAAATTGCAAACTTCGGAGTGGCATTCCTAAAGATATTTAATAACATTTTGGGGTGTTTTTTTTTTTAACTTTGGAACCCCATATCTCGGAAGGTACTGATTTCCCGCCGAGAAAATTTATGCTGTTGTAATCAGCATCAGATGGGTATAAATTTTAAAATGATTGCATTTAATAAATTTTAAAATAAACGCATTTAAGCCCAATCTATCATAATATGCCATGCCAGATTTTTCAGGGAGGTAATTTTTACTGGAGAGTTAATCGAACACAACTAATATTTTAAATACATATGTGCACGTATTTCCTCATTCCTTTTATTCTAAACAAATGTAATATCGGCATTATGCATCATCCTCATTCGTAAACAGAGCAATGTTCCTGATTTATCACCCGTTCCCTCATCCCTCCCTTATTAAAATGCTTGTGGAACGTTTTTCACTTCGGTGGATTCATTCAGTAAAAGACTCGCAAAGAGGATACTCAACTAACGTTCCACCGAATTGGACATTGGATTGGAATAAGCCACCGTAACTTTCCTACGTTTCCCATTTCTAAATGTAAAAAATCTATCAATTGAAATCTCGACTGAACCACCCTGGAATGATGGCTCAAACCACACTATGTCGACTTTGTGTGGAAGTTTGTAATCAATATAAAACTCTGTGCGATGAAAATGGTGAAAGCAATGCAATTTATGAGACCACAGTCAAATATTTCGATCCAATTGTAAGTGAATCATCATGTTTGGATCCTTAAACTCTTTTTAGGCCTACTTTAATTGTCTTGTATATTTTCAGCTCTTAAACTTGGACGAAGAAAAACAACCAGTAATTTGTATCGGTTGCTGGCGGCACATAGACGATTTCCATAGTTTCCAGATGTCTGTAATATTGGCCCAATCTAAATTGACTGAATACACTAGCCAACAACACATAGAACTGGAAACGGTAGTGAAGACAGAAGATGAAAACATTGAAGTACCTATATTAGAGTTAAAGGAAAATATCGAGACGAATATTTATAGCACAGAAAGCAATGTAGATAATGAATGTGATGAAAAAGATTTTATAGGTTTTCCAGAAGTTGATGATGCACGTGACATATACTTTAGTTCTGATGATGAAAAGCCTCTGTTGGAATGCATAAAAACACGATCAAGGGGTAAGAAAAAGACGGAACCTAAGGAGAAAACTAATGTACTAAAAATTCCAAAGAAACGTGGAAGAAAACCAAAAGCAAAGAATCTCGAAGTCACAAATGACAAAGGTTTAGATGCTGGCAGCTTGGATGTTTCATTAAAGGAAGAAGATAAAGCAAACGACACAAATGATGAAGGTGATGCAACAAACTTGAACAATACGTCGTCCTCCAACAAAAGGACATCCAAAGAAATAGATGAATTTATAGCAAAATGGAAGCAGGATCTAGATTGTTATCTGTGCAATGCAACGGCGCCCAATATGGGGGCACTTCGAGTTCATTTCCGCAAACAACATCCCAAACAAAGATGCTATGTCCTGTGTTGTCAGCTGTAGAAGTTCCTCCATCCCATATAAAGTGTGAGTAAATTGAAAACTTAAACCGCATTTTCTGCAAAATCGCTTTTTTGAGTTATGCCTGTCTTGCAGCAAATGAGCGATATGCTCGTGATATTTTCTGTCCAAAATTTTATCATTAAGTTCATATCAAAAAAAGTGATGTTACCTATTCGTATTGAACCTGTGACTATAAAATTACAAATACCTCAATATGTCAGGAGATCTAATAACATGTAAAAATTTTGTTAAGATTGAACTGTTCATACCTTCTCATATGTATATTCCTTAAATCTATCCGGACATTTATATTGGTACAATGTTACAACACTATTAGGTAGTAGGTTGTCCATGATCTTTAACAATAATGTTCAAAATTATAGACACTCAGGTTGGAAAAGGGGGAAAGAACATCAACGTACCGAATATTAAACGGGAAATATGTATAGCATACCCTATGAGAAAATTCGGTCAAAGTCTTTACAATTCGGAAAATGGAATGGGACCTATATGTAGGAGCATGGGCCAAAATAGAAATGTTTCCTCAATATCCCGTTATGGTATATTATAGGAAAATTAAACACCACATGAGAAAATACCAAATAATGGGGGATACTATTATATGGGGCTACACGGAAAATTGTACCAATATTGCTAATTTTTGGTAAAGAGGTTTTGATCATCCAAAATAAAACATTACAACCACTATGGTTGAGACACCGTTATATGAGAGCTACCTCAAAGAGATAATTTTAGTGCGATTCATTCTACCAAATAAGAACCAAATGCAAAATTACAGTCGATTAGATTTGAAAACGTGTCCAAATCCCCCACAGCATCAAAAAATGTGGGGTACTATTAGATGGGGGATATTTGGAAGCTTGGGCGAATATAAAATTACACCCAAATACCGAATATTAAGGGATACCGTTATATGGGAGCTACCGAATACTTGGGTCAATATTGATATTATTATTTAGGGAGATTTTCTGTTCAATAAGTATTCCTAATATTAAATTAGAAGCAATTCTGTTGAACATTTTCAATATCAAATATCTTATAAGAAGTAGAAATGTATGTTGGAGGGTGTAAAAACTAACCTAAAATTCCGACAATTAGATATAAACAATATTGCTAGGCATGACAACGTTTGCCGGGCCCGCTAGTATGTTATAAAATTGTTTTATTGTTATAAAAAATCCCCCTCGACTTCTAGATCCCTAATCAATATTATCCTAAACCTCATTCGTAAACAATCCAAGTCTCCATCCCACTCATTCGTAACTTTCCGTCTTCTTTTTTGATTTCTTCTTTACCGGGCATTTTGTCTTATCCCATTCGTAACAGGTGGAACGTTTTTCAATTTTCGAGGATTTAAATACAAGTACAATACAAATGTCAGTTTGCGATTTACATTTTGGCTAGATGGTCGATTATATATATACAATATTTTTGTAAACAAAATTTCCCAAAATTAATTATGGATAAATCCACTTTGTGCCGATTATGTGTTGAGATTTGCAGCGATTGTAAGAATCTTTACGATGAAGATGGTAGCTGTACACAAGTGTACGAAACTACTGTGAAATATTTCGATCCCATGGCGTGGTTTTATATTTGTCGGGATCGGGATCGGTGTTGAGAGTTTCTCTCTCTCTCAGTGGTAAATTGTGAATTGTGTTGGAAAACATTACCACAGGTAGAAACAAAAAAGTACGAAAAGGTACCTAAAATTCTACTTCAAATGATAATAAATCATAATTATCGAGAAATATTGGCCAATATTTATACCAGTTATTTGCATAAATAATATATGTTATAATTTAAGCGTAAATGTATTCACGAATAATAAAAAATATAATTTTTGTTTTGGTACGTTTATGTCAATTCGTACCTTTTGTGAACAAAAAGTACGCTTGTTACAAAATTAAAAATAGCGCAACTCTAATTACTCTCTCAAGAGAGAGAAACTCTCAACGCCGATCCCGATCCCGACAAATATAAAACCACGCATGGTAAGACTGTGGCCCACACTATGGAAGAAGAGAACTCGCAGCACATAGATATTCTTGTTTCTTTTATAGCTATTGAATTTGGAGGTGGACCAGAGATTTACAGTTATTTGTATGCAATGTTGGCGTCACATTAGCGATTTCCATGAATTCCAGCAGGCGGTGTACAATGCCCAAACAAAATTGACGTTTGACATCAAGCAAACCGAAGATATTAAGACCGAAAATGATTTGCTGCTGCTGCAGGACCATGACATACCACTGGATATTGTAAAAGAAGATCCAATGGATGATAGTCTGTTGCTTGCTGATGTTAACGCTGACCTAGAGGAGGGTGATGATAAATATGAAATATCTTTACCCGACGATTTGTATGATGATGTACATCAGAATTCAATAGAGTTCAGTTCGGACGATGAAAAACCATTACTCGAATGCCTAAAGAAGACAAGAAAGAAACGTACTAAAACTAAAATTGATATAAGAAAGGAAGATAATGCCAAAGTTCCAAAAAAGCGTGGCAGAAAGCCCAAAAATACCGAGGTCCACGATAAGTCCACTGAAAATGTCATCAAAAACTCCGAAAATAATATAGATTTCCCATCATATGGTGATAATTCCCAAGATGGTCATTTGTCCTCCTCAGTTGGTGGTGACACCGATGACAATTCTGTCGGCGGTAAAGCTCCCTCGAAAAATGGCACCAAAGCAGGAAAACGCAGAACACAAGAAATAGACGAATTCATAGCCCAGTGGAAACAAGATTTGGAATGCGTTGTTTGTGGCCAACTTTATCCGAATCTTACATCGCTGCGAAAACATTTCCGAGAACATCATCCCAACCAGAAATGCTACATAACATGCTGCCAACGAAAGTTACGACATCGTTTCCATATCGAAGAACACATTCGCATACATCTCGATCCTAATGCCTTCAAGTGTGATATTTGTGGTAAATGCTGCACAACGAGTAGAAGTCTAAATAGCCATAAACTTGAAAAACACACGGCAGAAGGCCGGGAACGCATATTTGAATGTCCGATATGTCAGAAACGGTTTGCAAAGAAAACCGTTCTAAAATGTCATATTGAAACTCATAAAACCGGAACGGATTATGTTTGCAGCCAATGTGGCAAAGGCTTCGCAACGGAACAGCGTCGAAAGGTTCACGAACGAACCGTACACAATGTCGATAGGGTCTGTGATCAATGTGGCAAGACTATTCATGGTATATATGCTCTGAAACAGCATCTGTTGGAACATCAGGGTATTAAGAAACCTAAATGGCCTTGCGACATATGTAATGCCCAATTGTATTCACATTCCAGTCTGAAACGTCACAAACAGGTGGCTCACAATGACGGCAGCACCGTATACGTGTGTGGAGAATGTGGGAAAATTGCTGCAACAGAAACCGCATTACGTAGCCATAAAAAATATGTCCATCAAGCTGAACGCAAACACAAATGTACGATATGCGATAAAGCCTTTAAGGTGGCGGTGGTTTTACGCGAACACATGGCTACACATACCGGTGAAGATTTGTATACTTGTCCGCATTGTCCGAAAACGTTTAAAGTTAGCTCGAATATGCATCATCATCGCAAAAAGGCCCATCCCAAAGAATGGGCGGAGGGTAGGCTGAATCGGCCGACCATAGCTAAGGTTGATATTAATCAAGTATCAAATGAAGTAGTATTGTAAATAGAATAATTAGCTATTATAAAAAATATATACATAAAAATATATAATAAAATATTTCTAAAAAACATGATTGGTAGTTATGCATTTGTTCACGACTTTGTCTTTTAACAGCATACGACCCTAGTACTTCAATGAAGTCATTTATTGTTGAAATAAATTCTTTCCAATTGGAAAGGACATAATAAAATCACTGTTTGAAATTCGTATGTCAATGGATCACTATTAAATTATATATAATATATACTAAATTCCAAAGTTTGACTTTAATTTTTAGCATATTATTTTCAACCAATTGAAGATATATGGATGTTATAAAACGTATTATATGAATAGGTTGAAAATTTGGAAACGCAATCAAAAATTATTTTCATTTACACGTTTCTTTAAATAACCGCTCATATTACCTTCGTCGATTTCCGAACTTCAGATGCCAAGCTATAGAACAAATGCACTTTACGGATACCTCTCTGATTATTTGAAATTTCCGGAAGTTCGATGTTCTCCGCAAACAAATTCGGTAGAAAAAAATTGCAAACTTCGGAGTGGCATTCCTAAAGATATTTAATAACATTTTGGGGTGTTTTTTTTTTTAACTTTGGAACCCCATATCTCGGAAGGTACTGATTTCCCGCCGAGAAAATTTATGTTGTTGTAATCAGATGGGTATAAATTTTAAAATGATTGCATTTAATAAATTTTAAAATAAACGCATTTAAGCCCAATCTATCATAAAATGCCATGCCAGATTTTTCAGGGAGGTAATTTTTACTGGAGAGTTAATCGAACACAACTAATATTTTAAATACATATGTGCACGTATTTCCTCATTCCTTTTATTCTAAACAAATGTAATATCGGCATTATGCATCATCCTCATTCGTAAACAGAGCAATGTTCCTGATTTATCACCCGTTCCCTCATCCCTCCCTTATTAAAATGCTTGTGGAACGTTTTTCACTTCGGTGGATTCATTCAGTAAAAGACTCGCAAAGAGGATACTCAACTAACGTTCCACCGAATTGGACATTGGATTGGAATAAGCCACCGTAACTTTCCTACGTTTCCCATTTCTAAATGTAAAAAATCTATCAATTGAAATCTCGACTGAACCACCCTGGAATGATGGCTCAAACCACACTATGTCGACTTTGTGTGGAAGTTTGTAATCAATATAAAACTCTGTGCGATGAAAATGGTGAAAGCAATGCAATTTATGAGACCACAGTCAAATATTTCGATCCAATTGTAAGTGAATCATGTTTGGATCCTTAACTCCTTCTAATTGTCTTGTATATTTTCAGCTCTTAAACTTGGACGAAGAAAAACAACCAGTAATATGTATCGGTTGCTGGCGGCACATAGACGATTTCCATAATTTCCAGATGTCTGTAGTATTGGCCCAATCTAAATTGACTGAATACACTAGCCAACAACACATAGAACTGGAAACGATAGTGAAGACAGAAGATCAAAATATTGAAGAACCTATATTAGAGTTAAAGGAAAATATCGAGACGAATATTTGTAGCACAGAAAGCAATGTAGATAATGAATGTGATGAAAAAGATTTCATAGGTTTTCCAGAAGTTGATGATGCACGTGACATATACTTTAGTTCTGATGATGAAAAGCCTCTGTTGGAATGCATAAAAACACGATCAAGGGGTAAGAAAAAGACGGAACCTAAGGAGAAAAATAATGTAGTAAAAATTCCAAAGAAACGTGGGAGAAAACCAAAAGCAAAGAATCTAGAAGTCACGAATGACAAAGGTTTAGATTCTGGCAGTTTGGATGTTTCATTGAAGGAAGAAGATATAGCAAACGACACAAATGATGAAGGTAATACAACAAACTTGAACAATACGTCGGCCCCCAACAAAAGGACATCCAAAGAAATAGATGAATTTATAGCAAAATGGAAGCAGGATCTAGATTGTTATCTGTGCAATGCAACGGCGCCCAATATGGGGGCACTTCGAGTTCATTTCCGCAAACAACATCCCAAACAAAGATGCTATGTCCTGTGTTGTCAGCGAAAGTTGAGTCGCCGTTATCAGCTCGAAGAACACATTCGCGTTCACATAGATCCCGGCGCCTTCCAATGCAAACTTTGTGGCAAATGTTGTACAAATAAACGGACATTAAGCAACCATATGTACGAACAACACACCGAACAGGGACAGGAACGTTCATTTGAATGTCCAACATGTCATAAATGTTTTGCCAAAAAGCCAGTTTGGAAACGTCACATGGAGATACATGAACCGAATAAAGATTATGTCTGTAGTGAATGCGGCAAAGGATTCCCCACCGAACAACGACGTATTGTACACCAACGGATGGTGCATAATGTGGAACGAGTATGTGATCAATGTGGGAAAACTTTTCGTGGTATCTATTCGCTGCGCACACATTTGCAAGAGCATGCCGGCATAGAGAGGCGAAAGTGGCCCTGCGATCAATGTAGTGCAAAGCTGAATACACATGCAAGTTTAAAGCGACATAAATTGGTGGCTCACAACGATGGAACGACCGTTTATCGGTGTAGCGAATGTGGAAAGGTTGCACCGTCCTCAATTGCTTTACTTAGTCACAAGAAATATGTCCATCAAGCACAGCGAAAATATAAATGTACAATTTGTGACAAAGCATTCAAAACTAATTTGGTTTTACGTGAGCATATGGCCAGCCATACTGGTGAAGATCTCTACACCTGTCCCCATTGTCCGAAAACATTTAAAGTCAGTTCGAATATGCATCATCATCGTAAAAAGGCTCATCCTGTGGAATGGGCTGCCGCTAGAGCGAAAAAGCCTATGACTGCAAGTATTAATATGTCACAAGTATCACAGGAAATTGTTATGTAAAAATTGTATATATTAATTTTATATAATGCAAATTTTAAATAATGCAAAGAAAATATGTGTAGATATATAACAGAATAATAATAAATTTTATTTAGACAAAGTGGATGAAGTAAAATATATTTATTTGTCTTTTGATATGTATTAGTGCCTATTAAAAATTCCGTTTTCAACAATTGAGCGTAAATTAAGTAAACCTAGTTGAGCAATATATTTATTCCCTTTCTCATTTGGATGTATTAGATTTGGATATAATATAAATCCAAGAGAATAATTATTACTATGTAATTCGTTCCCACCTATAGTTAACTCTTTGAGTGAACTCCTAATTTATAATCTCAGTACTGGTTATGATGTCTAAAAATCCCATGATCACGACTTCTTTAACATATATTCTTTAGAAATTACAATATTTATTATACCCCCAGTATAATTATTACAAGGTAGGATACATGATACAATTATAAAAGGTAACTGCAAAACCCAACAGATTTGATTCCAGCGTAATATTCGGGTCAATATGAATATGACAAATGTTATTTAAAAAGAATGACGCACCACGAAATTTTGTACACATAAAAATTGTAACAAAGAACCCTTTGAGCCCCGATTTTTTGTTGCGTGATAATAGAACTATTTTCTGTGCACAGATTTAATTTCACTATCCTAAATAGGATATGACCAAAATTTGGCGTCGCTACATCCCTGCAGCATTCGGGAGATACAGTACCTTCTTTCCGAAAAATAAAAGTCCAATATCAACAAAAGCAAATGCAATATCGACGAAAAAATTACTTTTAATTATTCTTTAGGTTCTTTTACAAGACTCAATTACAATTTGGAGCATACATTTCGAATACGAAGCGATTTAAATAATTTGGACTGTATACACAAATTGGTACTATACATATTTTTGCACTCATCTACGTATTGAAAAACATATAACTTGATAAAAATTAGATTTTTTATATTTTTCTTTTGATATGTGTCCATAATCAGATCTTAACATATGTAATCCAAAAGCTCTAAGACACTTTGTTGCCTGTGGGCAACCTTGGGCTACAAAGGGTTAACGGACCAATTTGTATTGTTTTGAATGCTATGCCAAATGATTACGAATAAATTCCAATTTCTTAGTCAATATTGGCAAAATTTCATGATGTTTCATTCATTTTTCGCATTTATTTATTTTATATCTGACGGAACAAGCTACTACACACAGAGATGCCTTTTTATGCTTAACTCAATATATCCTTCCTTATATTATTGTACCATGTATTTTTCATTGAACAAGACATAATTATACAAGGTAGTCTCAGTCTCCAATTTTTTCTTAAATTTACCTTTGGCAGCATTCGTCTTTCAACATTTAAATGTAAATATCTTCTTTCATTTTAGAATTGTTTTATTATTATTTAATACATTGTCCGCCGACAATTTCTACGAAATATACCAATTTAATCATACAGCCAGGTGGCAACTTTTCAGTCAGTGGTCAAATAAAGAAACACACACAAACGTCAACTCAAGGTATATTTAATAAGGTAGCCGCATCGGCCCAGCTGTTGGGCAAATAAATGTCAAAAATGTTGTTGTAGTGTTGAACCAAAAAATTAAAAAACAAAATTATAAATGAAAATCTCCGAATTTCGAAAAGCTTTTTTGGCACTACTTTTATTAACATTTTCTACAAGAATTTTTGTAAAAAAATCTTGTCAATCTGTTTGTTTTTGCAAAATATTTTTGACATATCAAAATACAACAACCGATGTTTGTTGTAGAAATTCGCCGATGCGGCTACCTTGTATATCTACCTTGCGTCAACTGACATGTTGTGTTTACTACTACTAATTTATACATCACTGCCGCTTTAGCTTGACATCTTTGTAGATTTGTTTGCAAAACGTTTTCCCACGGCGCTGCTAAATCACTTTTTTATTCTTTTAATAAAATAAAATAAAAATTCCATCAAAATGTCTGCTGCTATGCCAATTAATCCCAAACCATTCCTTAATGGTTTAACGGGTAAAGCTGTAATAATCAAACTTAAATGGGGGCATGAATATAAAGGTTATTTGGTGTCTGTGGATGGATACATGAACATGCAGTTGGCCAATACAGAGGAACACATTGATGGACAAGTTACAGGTATTGTAGACCACAGTTAAATACAAATTATTGTTCTCTGAAAACTAAGTTCGTGTTTTTGTTCTTCATAGGAAACCTGGGAGAAGTTCTGATACGATGCAACAACGTTTTATATATCAAAGGTGTTGATGATGAAGATGAGGAGGGTGAAATGAGAGACTAATAGAAAAGTACAAACCATGGTCTTAGCTTATAATGTACTAGTTTTACGTATATTTCATGTACAATACATTAAATTCTATTAATGAATTTCAAAATAAAATATTTTGAAAAAAAAATACAAAAAAAGGAGAGAAATCATTTGAAGGAAGCTGCTGTTTTAATATGTTATCTACAGGAAAGCAGGCTCTCAATACAGGTTCAATATGTATGCATCTGTAGAGATTCTATTATTTATTCACTGTGAATATCTACGGCTATAACAGTTGAAGCCTTGTAATTTTGCATTCAAAATATCTGAATATCTAACGTGTAGTTGTTTGAGAGCGGCATGTATCATAAAGTGGATCCATATTGACAATTTTCCACTATGCAATTTATAATAAATCAATCGGATCGAACCTTTATACCCTTCACTATAGGTATACCTGAAATAAAGTTCCAATCCCAAGTGGGACTATACTTTAACGTATGATTATAAAAAGTGTGCCATAAAAAACCTAAAAACCCAACTTTGTTGCCAACATTCTAACCATGGTTCAAACATAATAAAAAGAAAATATCATGAAAAACATATTTTATATTAGTTTTATTTACGTTTACTTTTCAAACCACGAAATGGATAACCTTGTGTGATGCAAATAATATATATCTTTAAGGTGTAGGGTGTCAATTTAATCACTACGGTTTATGTTATATTGAAAGCCATTTTTAACTTTATATTTAGAACACTACGACTGGTATAATTGCGGTTTTAAATTTATTTCATTTCGATTTATTTACAAAGTTTTCAAAGAAAAAGTGACTAGTCGTATTCGCGCATTTCAAACTAATTCAACAGTAAAATCAGAAAAAATACTTGATTTCAAAATGTCGGGAAATAATTTCGATGTAAAATTAAAACGTAAATTGGCGAAATTGGAAGAAGTACGTCAAGAAAGAAAACACCTAGAAGATTTAAAAATTGCCCGCAATGCCGATAAGGAGAGAAAACAAAGTTTTGAAAAAATGCATTCTCAGGTGTTAGTATTATGAACAATTCAATATTAATATATCTGATATCATTTGTTTCAATTCTATTATTGTAGTGATATTGATAAAATATGTGAAGAAACATTAAGAATGTATCCAAAGTCTTCAATATCCAAGCCGCAGTCGGAAGAAATGGAAAGTATACAGACTTCTCCTGTAGATCATGTTATAACAACCAATGTGTATGCTTCAAAAAAAAAATTATGAAATGATTTGGTTTTTCTATAATTACTATCTTTGAATTTTTTTTCCAGTATCGATATATCTGAAAAGTTGTCCAAGTTAACAGTATTCCATACTGAAATTACGGATATTCAACCAAGAAAAATATTCACATCTACCAAATCAACACAAACTAAAAATAGCAATGCTTTTCTACAACGTTTAGGTATTTCTTTTCATTTTCCATGCTGAGTTCAGTTAAATTTTTGTTTTAAACATTTTGAATATTAGTTATTAAAGATATTGATGATAAACAAGATGACGACCCATTAGAGGGTGGATTCGATTCAAAATTACCACCTGGATGTATGTCACCTGGTTTGCCAAAAGTTGAATTTGTTATGCCTGCTATAACGCGACTGGAAAGTATTATTGAAGAACGCAGTGGACGTAAGTACCAATTTCATTAAGTCTAAAAACGGATGATACACTAAATCTGAATATTTTTTCAGCCACGGAATTATCTGAAGAGCAAAAGGTAGCATTTCTTTCTAATCCACATTTTCAAAATGCACTAAAACGCATTGGTAGTGTAGTGGAAAATGTAGCAGCCAAAAATGTGGATGTAACAAAGGACTATTCCAGGCAACATAGCACCATAGATGCGGTCGATGAAAAGTCACGTTCTCAAGTTTCGTTAAGTTGCATATTCGATTATGAATTGGCAACAAATCGTTGTATAACAGATATGGATTGGTCATCGTTTGTAGCTGATCGAATTGTAGCTTCATATCATTCAAATGTGGTATAATAAAATATATCTGGAATCAATTTTAATTATGTATGTCTCACAATTAATTACATATGTTTAAATATTTCAGGAAGATCCTCTAGCTCCAGCGGGTATAGCTCTGGTGTGGAATTCAACATTTGGAAAAACATCTCCAGAATACGTACTACATTGTTCCAGTCCTGTTTTGTCAATTTGTTTTGATGCCACAAATGAACATTTAATTTTTGGCGGTACTTATTCAGGACAAATTGTTATGTGGGATATTCGTTCTCCAAAACCAATACCAGTACAATCGACCAAATTGAATTGTGGTGCACATGTGCAACCCATTCGAAGTCTGCACATGTACTTTGATAGTATTTTTTCCATTTCATCAGATGGTCGCTTATGTACATGGAGCATGGATATGCTATCTAAACCGACTGATGTTTTCCCCTTACAAACCAAAGAGAAACGTCCCATTGCGGTTACTTGTATGACCTTTGATGATAATGAATATAATGGATTCCTTGTGGGCGGTGAAGATGGTTACATCTATAAAGGTAATCGACATAACACTCCTAATAGAATAACTATTTTATAAATATATAAAAGTCTGAATGTATAAAAAACCCATATAGAATCGAAGTTTTCGATACTGAGTCTGCCTGCACCTTGACTATGAAAAACCGAGAATAATGTGTGCCCTCATATGTTATTTAATTTTGCTATTCAACTATTCAAACATTAAACTACAATTATATTTTTTTTTATTTGCAGGTAATCGTTTGGAAGTACGTGCTGGTATTAAATGCATATACGAACAACATGATGCTCCAATAACTGGTATATCTAAATTCTCAACTCCAGAATCGAAATTTAATAATTTATTTTTAACCTCATACATTGACTCGACCATTAAATTATGGTCATTAGACGATGAAAAGCCATTACATACAATTAATAACAACTATGAGTATGTAATGGATATTGCATGGTCTCCAACAAATCCTGCTTTATTTGGTACAGTTAATGAAAGTGGTCATCTAGATTTATGGAATATGAATATGGATACCGAAGAACCTATTATATCTACAATGCTGAATGGCCAGCCAGCTCTTAATCGTATATCATGGCTGTACAGCGGTAAACATATTGCCATTGGTGATATAGATGGAAAATTACATATATACGATATAGATGAAAGTTTAACCCATCCCGTTTATGATGAAAATACTGGTCTCTGTGAAACTTTGGATATGCTGAAACAAAAACGTTTATTGAATTAAAAGTATGAATTATTTTTGGAGACTTTTTACAATAAAATCCAATAAATAACAGAATGTAGCATTAGTTAAATATAGGAGCTGAACTGGGATCGCTCTGAAAACAAATCGCTTAGAAAACAAATTTCAAATATAGCTCACATACCTATTAAGTACCAGTTAGTACATATTAACAGTCATAAGTACGAATTTCCAACACTTCCCAGTAGTAGATATTTCTAAAACTTCCCACCCTAAACTACCCCAATCCAACACCCCAACAGTGATCCTAACCACCATTTGATACCATTTAGTACACATTAGTACGAATTTTCAAAACTTTCTACATAGCACGATCTTACACCCCCAACAGTGATTATAATTTCAAATTTCCAAATTCTAGGTCTATCGGTTCACTCAAATCCAAATTTGGTACCATTTAGTGCGAATTTCTAAAACTTCCTACATACCCAATCCTACAAAACAACAATAATCTTAATACCAAGTTTCAGGATCCCAGCTCTATCAGTTCACCCAAAATTCAAATTGTACCAAATTTATTTATTTTTATTTAACAATTCCAAAGTCCGAAGACATTTCAGAAATTGCAAATCGACAGGATATACAGGTTCGTCGAATAAAAATGGTACCACATTAAGTACATTTTAGTTCTTTACATGTCTTTCCAGAATGAATTCTCAAAAACCCAGCCTTATCTGACCCCTTTGGACCAAGAGTGACTCTCACCCCAAATTTCAAGATTCTATCTCCAGCCGTGAATTAAATAATAAAAATGTATTATTATTAAATATAAGACTATATGCACTAAAAATTTCAAACGTTTCGGTGGTGGTATTTTTGGAACTTTGGAGCCCCTTATTTCGGGAAGTACTGTAATCAGTATCAGGAGGCCTATCTATGGTAAACATTTCTAACTGCTCTGAAAGTGTCCGTAAAGTACATTTGTTCCAATTTAAAAATGGCTAAACTTAAATAAAAAACTTGACAAATCAAAACATTTGCAAGTTTGTTCATGAATTTGGACACAAACTTACCTATAGATTCAGAATTTTCACTTTTTTACTGCAGCGTTATTTATCCTCACTCCATTTAATTTCATAAATTTCTTATGTTCACTAGCCACCCCTCTTCGGATCATTGCATAATTATTCTCAAATATCTAATTCTTTTAAGCACATCACTGGAACAAAAGTTATACGACCGTTTCATATCGAAAGAAATTAAAAAAATATTTGAGTCTCCCACAAACAACGAAGCCGGCAATAATTTGAAATTCGTACCTCATTGCCAGTTAATGCTTTTTGAAGGCGTCATATATTGTAAGTTGTACGGTCAACTATTTGCTTTATTCCTCTTTCGTAAACAATACGGTCCTTTTTTTATCACTCGTTCGCTCATTTCTCCCTCTATTTGTTGCATGCAAACTATTTTAAATTACAAAAGGGGCGCGCAAAGAGGCTTCCCTCAACTATCACGTACCATTTGGAATTTGATATTCCGAGATATTCGCCAATTTTTTTAATAATTTTGTGTACTTTTCTGTCCGTTGACAATTTGTAAATGTTGTGTGACCATTATGTCCAGTATTGTGTCTTTAATTAATCAATTGTGTGCTGAATTGCGTTCGGACAAGGTGACTACACGCAATAAAGCTGCCGAACAATTGGAGAATCATTTGAGTTCCTCCAAAAATGAACTGTTTGCCAAATTGCCGAAGCGGGATGAAAACAATGTGTCGTGGACAACAATATTCAATAGTGTCATAGATGCAACCATTAAACATGCCATTAAGGTGGATGAGACCAAGGATACTAAGAGCCAGTCGACGTTGCTGAATAAAAACTATATTTACAGTGCCATTGTTAACAAATTGATAAATTATAATTTGGAAGGTATTGATTGAATTGAATTCCAGAAAGTCTAAAATTGTATAACTAATCCCTGATTTTTTTCCTTTAAAGATCCGGAGCATTTGTTTAATAAGTCCACATTATTCAATGGCTTCCAAGAAGGTTTTAAAAGTCGTGTTGCTGTTCTCTATTTCAATGATATGTTCCTAGGTATTTTGAATCAGGGTCTATTCAAGTCGGATGTATATATACGGGAAATGAAAGTCAATGAATTTAGTCGTAAGTATATGCTATGTCATTTTTAAAGAACTCAAGAAATTTTATTCGGATATGTTATTTGTAATTGCAGTCATACTTTCGTATCTTTTTGAAACGAACAAGGGTACAGATGACCTTTTTCGCTTTGGATCCCTGAGAGCCATAACAAAAGCTATTGAGCTCTCCCATGAATATGTCCAAATGAGCGCTGATGTTATTGCATATTTTCCCGAGATCCATGAATTTGCCAGCAGGTCAATAAAAGATGGTCAACGGGCTGATGTTATTAAATTGTACTATTTGATGGTTTCACAGGTATTTCAAAGTTCTCTTTACTCTTTATTTAATATGTAGATTTATGATGGTGGTATAAAATTCGATAGGGTGCGTGATTCTAAGTATGACATGTACATGTAGTATATTTTGTATTTTAACTCATCAAAAAATCAGTAAAAGTGAATTATAGGGAATATAATAGAACCATTACCTCACTGGTGTGCTATTAGGACTATACTCGTCTGTGAGGAGAAGCTTGGCGAAATGCTATCGGACGCATCTACAGGATAGTGCTTAGGTGACAGACTACAAACAACTGTTAAATCTTAAATCATTTTGTTTGTAAATGATTATAATTGTGTGTGTGCTAATTACAAATTTCATGTTTAAGTTGATTTTTAATTTTCTTTTCAACAAATTGAACGATCTAAACACATAAATTCGAAATGAATAATAAATTTCTAATAATTAAACATACCATTTTTATTTTTAGCATTCGGTTGATTATCACAATTTAATTTGCAATGATTTGCAAGTAGTCTTATCCATTATTATTGGATTTTATCAATACAATATGAAGCCTGAAACAAAGGTATGTTTTGGAATATTTTACATACTCGAATACCTAAATATATCTATAATTGAATTGTTTTTACTTTTAGGAATTATTATTTAAATCCATACTTATATCACTGCAGACATTATATCCTTATATTTATCAAGGTGATACAAATACCATAAATATCACCGTTCACAACACCTGGACAAAAACATTGAAAAAACTTAAAACCTTAATTGAAATTGAAATAAAAGAACGTAAAAGTAGCCATTATCAATTAAGTCGTAATCAGCATAATGATAAAAGTTTAGAAGCATTTGTAAAAATGTCTGCTCTCGCAATGTATTTGGTAAATATATAAAACACATAAAATAACTTTAAGACAAAAATATACATATATGAATTTAAATTTTCTCTTTGCCAAGATTTTGTGGCACATTGATAATAATAACAATGATAATTCCGATAAGGAGCCAAGTGAACAAAAATCAAAAATTGCCAAGCCATTGGATAAGTTGGAAATCATGTTGGATTTAGTACAGCCTCAAAAATTAAAATACAATGAAATATGGTATGTGTTAAAAAAAGTTTTAATATTACAACGAAATTAATCCATAATAACTGTAGGTTGTCAATAGTGTCCGAGATGATAAATGAAATTGATAATATTATAAATGTGGCAAATTATCAACAATTGCTAAAGTGTACTTTGAATATCCTTGAGGATTATTCGAATGGAAAAAATATGCATTGCATACGTTTATTGTTAACAAAACTTATGATCGAGGAAAAACAATTAATGGCCACCAAATCTATTCCAGATAATTATTGTCAAGCGGAATGGCATAAAATAATACAAACATTAATAAATGATACCTCATCGTGTTCAGACGTTATTGTTGAAAAACAAAAGCTATTACAAAAACTTATTTCACAACGTAAATTATCGGTGGATGGTTGTACAACACTTATGAATTCCTTTATAACAAATGCCGCCTTACGACGCAGCGAATGTGTACAAACACTGCAGGAGATATTCAAAAATGCCGATCATATTGGTTTAGATAAAACTTCGAATCTAGTTGGTCAGTGTATAACATGGCTGTATGGTGATAAAGATAGAAATGAAGCCAAGAGCATTTTGTTGCACATAGAACCAATAAAACCTCAATTGATAGCTGAAACATGTGCCATAGCTGTGATAAATTTTCTTAATGAAACTTCAATAAAGCCAAATGTCGATGACCACAAAACAAGTGTCAACGATAACTTAGAAAATCTACAATTCAAATATATACGTAAATTTTTATGTTTAGAACGACATGCCAAAGCTTTAGCAATGCTAGAAGAAGATGCCCAAAGTAAAAGTCTACAAACGCCAACAAATTGCCTTTTTCAAAGTAATTATGAACTTTTAATGCGTACGGTTAATTTTGAAACTACACAGGGAACAACCAGTAAAGATATTCAAGAGGATTTGACATCATTACAAAAAATAGCTATGCTTATGAAATCACTATTGGAATATGGAGTTTTTGACGAGAACTCTTTTATGCAGTGTCCACTTATTAAACGCATTGGTTTCTTTTTAAGTCATTTAGAGGTAATTTCTTAACAATTTTTCCTTTGTATTATTATATATTCATTATAAAATCATTTTCTTTTAGCTACAATTTAAAAATAATTCCTCAACAAATATAGAACGTTGTACATTAAGTGAAATTCTTAATTTATTGGAATATATTATTGAATGTTTTACCAGCAATGCCACATTGTTACAATATTTAGAAAAACAGCCAATTGAGGAGATGATACAATTTTTGGGTACATCTTTGAAAACATGTGGTAGGATTTCTCAATGTCCTTTGATTTTATTATTGTTATTATAAATAAGAAAAACGTATATTTTTGTTTTTAGCAAAAAATACCAGGGATCAATCAGAATTTGATGACTACTCCTCAATTGCTGAGAAAATTTTATGTTTGTTGGCTAAATTGTGTGGCAGTTGCACACATTGGAAAGAAGCTTTTGAGCATGTGGCTAAATACAATTTCAATACAAAAACTCAAACTACAATAATTTTGAAATTGATAAGGGTATGCAATACCAAGATTATCGTTACAACCATTTACATATATTGAAACGAAATCGTTATTTTATCATTTCAGATATTCTGTATGCAAAAATCACACTATCTCAATATTGGATCATGGTTTGTTAACAAATTGAAAACAATATTTAAATTGTACTATTCCAATATAGAAATAATGAATACCATATTAGAAATTATACCAGGTAATTCTGTAATCATTAAACAAATACTTCTCTACTATAAAAATAATTTATATCTCTATTCCTTTCTCTCCATTTTTATATATGTGATAGCAATTTTTGTTTATATACAACTATACGAAGATTGTTTAGATGATATGCTCTTGGCCATGTATTCGTTATTTAAAATTGCCTTTCGCAAATCGTACTCAACGAAAATGACAGCAAAAATCATTAACAGTATTTGTTTTATTGCTCGGGATTGTCGTAATATCTATGTACAGGATAATTTTCGTAATTTATGCTTTTCGATTGTTAATTTCCTACCATTTCCTTCGTTGGATATACAATATGCTGCCATAAATACCATTACGGCTTTAATGAATATCAACTGGTTGCGGAATACAAAATGTGATATTGATTTATATTATGATTTTTGTGATAATATTTATGAATCGATAAAATGGAAGAAACTTCAAGTGGCGCCAACGCAAGCGGACAGTGCAGACCAATTACAAAATGCCAAATCGTTGAATGTTCAATTGTTGGTCGGTATTTTGGCATTCAGTTGTTATCATCGTGTCAATGCATTACAAGAATTGTCACATGTTTGTGCATTTTATAAATTTACTGAAGGTAATGTATTTCTAAATTTAATTTTAATGTATTATGTTTAGTAACAAAGCCATATTTTATATTTTTATAAGAAGGAATCAAATGTTTCTATTTTAAATGATACAAAAACGTTGACAATACCTTAAGAAGTTAGTTTCGTTTCATATTTTCAGCTGATTTCATTGAATATCATCACATTTCTATGTTTTATAAAACAACTACAACTGTGTTATTGAGACCGAACATTCCCAGTGCTATACATACATGGATATCAAAAGGTTATCCTATACTAAAGTAATATTACCACACTAATATACTATATTTTTATCATAAATAAAGTTCTATTGTTTTACAGATTCCCCTTTTATCTTTGTTATAAAAGTAAACAGGAATTTCTCAAGGATAATATTGATTTAATTACAACATGTCTATTACTCCATAATAAATCGGAAGAAATAAAAAATTTGGAAAATTTTGGTGAAATGCAAGATCTTTTGAAGGTATTTTTTTATTAAACATAATTTATAAAAACAATTATTGTAAACAACGTCCATTTTTAGATGGCGATGCCAATTATTAACTATTTCATATTAGTCGCTCAATGTCCGGCCAGTGAAAATAATGAACTTAACAAATATGTACAAAATATGTTAAAATTAAAATTAGATTTTAGCAAGGCAAAAAGTGATACCAACACATGGAAAGTGGTATTTACATTATTCGAGGCATTGCACGATGATGGTGATTCCAAACAGTTGGCTGGATTTCCAATGTTTTTACAGACACCAAAATGGTATAATATCAACAGCAATTGTCTACGATCAGCTTTAAATGTTTATATTGTAAGAAAGTATATACTGTAATTATATTCTAAGGATTCTAAAACGATTATTTTTGCAATTTGCAGAACAGCAATACCGGCGATGCTAAACCTGAATTACTTTTAAATTACATAAGTAAACATTCGTTACGTTTGGTTAAAACTTTTGGCGCTTTGAAAAAGAATTGCAGTCAATGTATTTATCCCATTGATTCTTTACGGCAATTTTATAAATTCTATAAATTATCGGATATGGTTATAGATACCCTTACGAGTCAATATGGCAAAGCTTTACCACAACATTTGAGTTTTTATTTTCTACAAGATATAATTTATTATTGTTTACATTGCATTGAAATGTCGGCAGGATGTAACGAGAGTTTACGAAAAATTGCGTTAAATGCATTGGAAAAAATCACAACAAAAATACTTAATATTGAAAATATTAATTCGTTTATGGAGAAACATTTAAATTTTATATGTAAATCTTTGGTCTACACCCATAAACGTAGCAATTGTCCAGATGAACAAGAGAAAATTACAAAAATTTGTGAAGATTTGGTAAACAATTATAAAAAGGCAATATTGGATAAACAATATGTGTTGAATATTTTTGCAAATAATGAGAAGTTTGTCGATATTAATACATTTTTGGAGACACTAAGTGAAAATATTGCAGATGAGAATGGTGATGCTGCTGATTGTTGGAAAAAATATTTGGATATGTTTATAGAGAATACTAATTATACATCGGATTCATTTAAACTGTTGCAACAACACGTAAGTATATAAAACAATTAAAAGAAATAAAATTAGAATTTAAGGGCAAGGTCGGGAAAGAAAGCCCACCATCTTGAAATTCAATAATCAGACATTTGAGAAAAACTCTGAAATTTCAGAGTGCTTTGCAAATTTTTTCGCTACAACATATTCATATTCACCCTGTCCAAATAAAGATACATATAGTTATAAATTATCGACGATAGATCAAATATCTATGCCTTTTTTACAAAGTCAATATGTTTCTAAAAATCTACGTAATTTAAGATCAATTAAAAGTCCAGGTCCGGATGGCATTCCTAGCATAATTCTAAAGTACTGTTCAGATACATTAGCTATCCCTTTAACGCTATTGTTTAATTATTCCCTGAAATATAGTCATTTTCCGACCTTCTGGAAGAAATCCTATATAGTTCCTTTACACAAATCTGGTAGCTTAACTAATGTCTCGAATTATAGAGGAATTGCTAAATTAAGTGCAATTCCAAAATTATTCGAAAAACTGATTACTGATGTAATTTCTCATAAAGTTCAGCCAATCTTAAGCCCATATCAACATGGTTTTCGTAGTGGCCTCTCAACCATTACCAATCTTATTCAATTTTCCTCAACCGTCATAAAAGGTTTTATTCAGCGTAATCAAACCGACACGATTTACACTGACTTCAGTAAAGCTTTTGACAGGGTTAACCATGAACTTTTAATATATAAATTAAATCAAATTGGTTTCAGTATAAATTTAGTTAAATGGATATCATCTTATTTGAGAAATAGATCACAGGTAGTTTTGTTTGATGATTGTCTCTCCAAATCCATTAATGTTCCTTCCGGCGTTCCCCAAGGAAGTCATTTAGGTCCACTCCTCTTTCTTCTATTTATAAATGATTTACCAAATGCAATAATCCACTCCAAATTGCTAATGTATGCTGACGATGTCAAGTTGTTTATCACCCATAACTCCATGAAGCAAGCTGATTTACTTCAAAATGATTTAAATAACCTTTTTCAATGGTGCGAATTAAACTGTATGGATTTAAACCTAAACAAATGTAAGCATATGTGTTTTTCCAGATCTTCTACTTTAACAAGGCAATACAATATTAATGGTACTGTTTTATCAACTGTTGATTCATTTGTTGATCTTGGTATTTTAATGGATCCAAAATTAAATTTTAATAATCATGTTATTTCTATGGTAAACAAAGCCCACGGTGTCTTAGGATTTATAAAACGATGGGCTAAAGAATTCTCTGATCCCTACATTACAAAACAACTTTTTACATCTCTTGTGCGACCCATATTAGAATATGGTTCTGTTGTATGGGATCCCCAATATACAATTTATTCCGATAAAATTGAATCAGTGCAGAAACAATTTCTAATTTTTGCGCTGAGAGGTTTACATTGGAATAGTGACTTTGTGTTGCCTTCCTACACTAGCAGGTTAAAATTAATTCGATTGCCAACATTAAAAAGTAGACGTATTATGTTGAACACTATGATAGTAATTAACATACTAAGCGGTAATATACCCTCAGACTTCCTAATTTCATCCATTAGAATAAATGTTCCTTTTCGATCAAGTAGATATTATCAACCATTATACGTAGATTTTCATCGCACAAATTATTCTATGGGAGATCCACTTAGTAAAATGTGTATTGATTTCAATTCTGTGTATTCTAACGTAGACTTTTGCATGAATATAGACCTAATAAAATCTAATATAATCATATTTTTAAATGAATAATACAACTTAATAACAAACTGGCTGTAGCTGGTTTTCTATCCCTTCTCATATTCCATCATAATGCGGATTATGATGCGTACGCGATCCCTACGAAAGGGGAGGTCGCCCCCTCGGTCGGCAGGGGTGGGAAAGTGAGGCGTGGGAACGTACGATAAAAAAAAAAAAAATATAAAAAATAAAAAGATCATTATTGCTAGACGCAATGTGACAAACCAACATGTACGGCATCACTTTTACAAACAAATTCAAACGTTAACACATTTTTCTGCGGTCGCTTCAAAACCATAATCCTAAAACCATCAATTTAATATATTTGAGTCTCGTTCGTTGTCGGAATTAACCAGACAAATCACTGCACGAACTACGGCTATGCACAACCATCCATAGATTCTAGAAAGTGGTATCAATTTGTCTTACACACTTATGTTCGGACCTGGTACGGTTTCCCGTGTAGAGCCAAATTAATCCACAGGCTTCACTCCTGGTGCTGGCCTTTCGTCAATTCCGGATCCCAAAAGCTTCGGTTTCCCGGGAATCGACTGAGAGAGCCATAAAAGCCCAATTGCTATCTGGCATCGTTTATGGTAAGAACTAGGGCGGTATCTGATCTTCATCGAGTGTTGTTACATGGAATCTTATTTACATTCGATGCTCAGGTGAACTGATTGATGCTCTAGAGAACTGTTCGATGCTCAGGAGAAGTGCTCGATTGTAGAAAAATTATTGTTAGCCTTAATGACTAGTATCTCTGTTTTCCTGGACTACTTTACAGCTCATTTTGAAGTGCCCTTAAACATTTTATCGGAATTTCTTTCTCCAAAATATGTACTTTCCTCCAAATAAATAATATAAATATTCCTTTCCCATGTTCTGCGAAGAAATCTGAGCCGGACATAAAGACAATTTCGAAAAGTATAAAAGAGAAATAAAAAAACCTAGGTGCAAAATTAGTTTTAATCTAATTAAGCTAGGTTATGTTATAAGATGTAGTTCCTGAAAAGAAAATATAGAAGAGAAAAAAAGAAGGAGAATAAAGGATGAAATTAATTATTATAGCTTAGGCATGACTGATTTTTGGCAAACTATAAATTTCATAAGATCTACTTAAGCGGCAGTAGTCCACTCCATTGATATAAATTCCTCAATATGTAATGCGGGGAGCTTATAATCGATTTAATTCTCATTCATTTCACTATGCCAATGATTTTTGAATATGGAGCCTCCGGACGGATGTAAGCCAATTCGGTTTATGAACTCTGAACTATGGATATAAGGGTTGCGTTAGATATCGGAAATAACACTTTTTAACCATTTAGATTTCTAGGGCCAGTTGTACGAGCGTATTTTTTCCTACAGATTTCATAGCTATAAAGTCTAATTACCGATTAGCCTATTTTCATATTGAAAACAATAACATGTTCATCATCTATTAATTTTCAGATTTCCGCCAATAAACACATTGTTCAAACTGAGAAAAATCTATTGTATCGTCTTATACGTCATTTATTGCAAATTTTACGCCAAAATCAAAATGAAGCCATAAATCTGGAAGTACTGAAATGTTTGGGAGAAATTGGACCATTAAATCTATATCAAATGTCTTACTATTTTGAAGTTGAAAATTCTTTAAATGAGGTTTGGATTTGTCCTATTGATTTATTTGTTGTTAATTATCTCGTTTGAAATATAATCTGTTGTTTTTTTTTTCCAGAAGAATGATAGTGCCAAAGATATTGAAAAGTTTTATAATAGTATTTTTTTAATACTGGAACATTTGCAGAATAAATTTAATGCCACAACACATTTATATGTTCTTGATGTGGCACAATATCTAGTGAATTCAAAATATGGTCAAGATTTAATTGGTAAGTTTTCTTGAAACATTTAATGAAATATATCTTCTGTACTTTGTATTAGTACTTTCACTTTTATTGATTACTGATTTAACTTTCTTAATTTAATTGCAGAAAAATATCCCCAATTTATAGTATTTCGTGCTAATCTCAATCAAAATTATTTGGATCTATATGAGAGTATAACACCCGCCAACTGGTGTGATATACTTAAAGCATGTGAACAAATGGATTATGACAAGTTTATACGTCAATTTGTTGCCAAAATCTATAAGCATTGTAATTGGCAACAATTTCATGATTTAGCAAATAATGATCTTTATTTTGCTGAAAATTCTATAATACCATTTATAAAACTACTGTTACAATGTGAAATAGGCGAAGAGCACAAAAATGCTATTATTACTATGTTAGAGTATTTTTTTGAAACATTTCAAGAAGTTCATAAATCTGATGGCAATGGAGAATTAAAAATGATTTACAAGGAGAAACGTATAGTGAATTTAATATTGAATATATGTGAATGTATTCGTGTTAATAATTCATGGTAAGTATATATATATGAGTATTTGATATATGGATTTTGGGATCGTATATGTTAATATAGTCATTATACATTCACAACATTTTATTTGTTTCAATTATAAAATGCTATGTCTTTCGACTATAAGACTGTGTTACGTAATACAATTTTAAAATCAAAACCAATTTACAAATTTTATTTCATTTTTCAGGGATTTACCATTACAACTATTGAATGTTGTTGAGGCCTGTAATTATTGCCAAGCGTATTTTTTGTCCATTATATATTTGGAAATGTGGGCATTAAATCAAATATCCAACGGCGATAAAACAAATTTGGAAATAATTTCAAATGAAACATTTCAAGAACTTGCCAGAAAGGTAAGTTTTATTTCAATGGATATTTTCAGATACATATGTATAATAAATTTTAAATCATTTTAGGCCTATGATTCCATTGGTTGTAATGATGCCATTTCGGGCTTCATTAATCCATTAGCATCACGCATGGAGTATTTAAATTTAACAAATAACTGGTCAGATATATTAATCGAAACCACTGAGACATCGGAAATGTGTAATTCGGTACTCAAACGCAATGGCATGCTAAATTTGGCCTGCTCTTCCGGCGATAATCTAAAACAAAATGTTGATTATGAAATATGTTGGCGTTTGTGTCGTTGGGATACTGTCGTTGAGGGACATTCCAAAGTTGATACCCTAAACGATATGGAATATGAATTTGAGAAGCATCATTTTAATGCCCTTAAATGTCTAAACAATAAGGAAGAGAATAACACACTGGCTGCCATTAAAAAATCACGTCATTGTCTTTTGAATATTCTCAAAGAAATTAGCGTCGAATGTTTACAGAGTGTTTACAAATATTTGACATGGCTGCAATTATTACAACAATGTGAAGACTTTTGTTTGGTAATTTGTGTGTTTTGAAAATAAATTTCTTTTAATTTATATTTACTAATTAAAACATTGTCTTTTCTAGATACAATTCTCCAAGTCATCGGACGTTGATAATATCTTCAAGAAGTGGCAATTGGAATCAAACGACTTGGATTATGGCCTCTTTTCTAGCAAAGAGATGATATTGTCTCATCAAATATCACTGTTTCAAACGGCCGGTATAAGAGCCAGCAGAAAAATTAAAGAATTTTACAAGGTTTGTAAAGTATAAACATAGGACTTACTTAAGACACAGATTTGGGTTGTATTTTATGGCATAATTTGTCTTTGGGAAATTTGAGAGTTTATTTTAATGCTTATAGCTGTAATTAAAAACATATTCCAATTACATCGGAATATGGGCCAACTTGCCTACTTTCCTGACTTCAAAAACAATTTGGGCGACTAACGACAAATTGACTAATATAACTGATGTAATGTAGGACTCGTTATTTTACTGATACTATCTTATTGTTTGTGACATTTTTTTCAGGACGATCCCATTGAAAAATGCTTGCTAAAGTGCATTCGAGATTGCAAAGCAGCTGGGGAATTAAATCTTGCAAAACGTTATGTGGCGATGCTTAATAACAGATGTAATAATAGTAGTGCCTCGCTCAAGGTAAGTCGTAAGAAATAATAATTTTACAAACTAATAGCATATTTGCTCAATTTATATTCCCAGATAAGTGCATTGCTTGAGGATGTCGATATATGCATGAAAACTGATAAATCGGAAATAACTAAATCCATTTTACATCATGTATTCAAAAATCGTGAATTTCAATATTGTTTGCAACGTGTGAAAGCCATGCAATTACAAGGCCAATATTTAATGGATACCAATGCAGAAACATTTGAAAATGTATTGAGAAAATATTTCCAAGGCTCGCTAGATGTGTTGGAAAAGTATAATCACTCAAAGGATATCATTTTACAAAAGTTTCCCAACTTATTTACATTGGAAGAGTTCCAGGAGTGCCAAGCGGATAGTAAGAAAAGTGCCTATGAAATTATTGCCAAATATGCAGACAGGGAATATACTCAGGTAAGCAAATAATAACAAGTGTTTTCGAATGCGCAGTTTTTTATTTATTTTAACTCACTATTTTATTCAAGTTAAATAATTACGCCAATTCCGATCAATTTGCAATTAAACGGCAAGCAATGAAATTAAATCGTGAAACAGCATCAACTGTCAATCCTCGTGTCATGGATCATGATAAACGCGTTGCTGTCAATTTCATGAAGAGAACGTCGCACATCGATGAACAGGAAATCGCTCAAATTGAGACAAAAGTCACCTCCAATCTTTGTACAGCCGTTGAAAATTATATGAAATATTCATGTTTAGATACAGCCATTTCAAGTCCTGTTATATATCGTATAATTGGTTTATGGTTTGCCAACAAACAGAATGATACGCTACGTGCCACAATACAAAAGCACATCGATGCTGTACCAAGTTATAAATTTATATGTGCCCTCAATCAAATGACAGCTCGTCTAAATTCCAAACATGATGAATTTATAAAAATTCTCAAGAACATCATGATTCGTTGCGTCCAAGAGCATCCACACCAAACGCTGTATCAATTGTATCCCATTGTGTACGGCTATATTGATGGGACACAACATAAAGCCGATTATCGTTCGAAGATTGCCCAGGAAATCATTGCCAAAGGCAAGGCGAAAATAAATGTCAATATTGTTAAGCAATTGGAAAATGTTATACCAGGTATGCTAGATAGATAATCCAGTACAATGTAAATGTACTATTGTAGGGGTTTAAAAAATTAACTTAAAGTGGGATTTAATACATTGCCACTGTTTTTAATTGCCAGCCCTAGTTGAATTTGCCAATACCGAAATGAAGGATAACAAATGCACATCAATATCCCTGAGTGATAAACTGAAGCGTATGAAAAATCTTGATGCCATTCATTGTCCCACAATTGATTTGCCCGTGCGAATCGATATGAATTATAAAATCACAAGTGAGTAAGCAAGCATATTTATCTATAATTTTATTTTTAAATATAATTAAAAAATATAAACGTTATAAAAAAAGTTTTATATTCGCTGCAAAATAATATTAGAGTCGAGGCAAAAACATAGAAAAGTTATGCGATTGTAGATAGTTTTCTGATGAATGTGGGACAAGCTTTTAATGTCCGCCCACTGTGGTTTCATTGCCTGAAACATGGTCGGCTAGCATCTACTGTCAATATAGCTGGTCGTTGGAGTCATATTTAAGGTTTTTGACCACTAATTCTAGGGTAAGACCCGAGGGTGTTAGTGAGGGGTTAAATGAGCCATCGGATCTGTATACCTTTGATATTCCCTCCGGAGTGAGCGACATAGACGTGCGGGCTGTAAATGGGACAGCAACGACAGCTTTCCAGTTTATTTAGAGTGTTTTTGAAGGTCACTCCGAGGGGACGTGGTCACTCCAAGGGGACGTGGTCACTCCGAGGGGACGTACGCAGGATACTGAGCGTTTCAGAGGTTGAAAGGAACCATTATACGCACTGTGTCATGGAGTTGGCTTTACCACTCGAGGACTTTACGGCACGGACCATAGATAACCAGGCCAGCATGTTGAATGAGTAAATGAGCAGCGTCAATGACGTACTCCTTGGTAGACGCCGTTGGCCCAAGCCAAGTAAGGTCAAATTGTAGACCTGCAAGCTAGCTACAATGCGGCGGCAAGTTTGGCGTCTTAGGTCTGATAAAATACGTAACCTGACAAACCACCAAACGTACTCCTTGGTAGACGCCGTCGGGCCAAGCCAAGTAGGGTCAAATGGTGGACCCGCGAGATAACTATAATGCGGCGACAAGTTAGGCGTCTTAGGTCTGATAAAATATGTAACATGGCAAACCGCCAAATCCCTCGGTTCTGACCACGTCCCTTTCAACGTCTTCGTTAATAGACGGAACACCGTACCTTCTCGATTTTAGATCCTACTTCTGTCGCTCGTGGCTGCTGGACGAATGGCCGAAGCAAGACCAAACGAGATTCTTCGTAAAACCCCTAAAGACCCAAGCATGAGAGAGCTCACTTTTGAAGTCAGCAGGTTAGTCTTCGGGCATTAAAGGCAACGGGAAAATAAATTGTGGGCAACGTTAAGCCACTCTCGAGCACTGGAAAGAAGGACAGCGGTCAAATTTAATTACGTAAGAGATTCGGGTGTCAAGAGGAGTGTTCCACTTCGTATAAGAAACCTCGTATACGAGGAGGTACCAACAAAATTTGCGAAGGAAGTAGCCGCATCAAGAACGCTCCCACAGAGTTTCTATGTTAATACTTAAGCAGCCTATACAGGCTGTAAATCTCTGAATTTGATTTCTGAATCCACTTCATATATTCCAGATGCAACGACAAATATTTTGTTAAATAAATCAATGACTTATTAGTGGAAATAATGGTTTCGGATCTCGCCACTGATTCTCATCAGTTTCCTGAGTTTTTTGTTATGAATATTATCCCCAGAAACTGTTTTAAATAAAAACAAAGTAAAAATGGTATTCCAAAAAACCGCCAACGCCCACAAAGATCTTTTATAATATATTTACATAAAGTTATAATTAATATATATTGCCAATAATGATATTATATAGAAAACTCCCAGAATTCAATTCCTAAACTTCAATAAAACAACATCATGTTTTCAGGCATTATGAAGTGGGAATCCCAAGTTGGTTTAGTTGGCGGTATAAATGCTCCCAAAAAATTAGCATGTCTTTGTTCGGACGGCATCACACGGCCACAATTATTAAAAGGGAAAGATGATTTGCGACAGGATGCGGTAATGCAACAAGTATTTTCTATGATTAACAATCTACTGCAACAAGAACCGAAAGCTGTCCAGCGTAAGTTACTCATTCGCACATATAAAGTAATACCACTTTCAACACGTAGCGGACTGCTGGAATGGTGTCAAAATACCATGCCAATTGGTATGTATTTGGTTGAAGCTCATAAAAAATATCGACCCAATGATTATACGGTAATGCGGTGCAGGCAATTATCGCATGTAAGTATTTCATTAGAACTCTCCGTATCTCTTCTCTGTATGTTTATTATTGCGATGAATTTCCAGGGACAATTGAAATCCAATCCAGAAAAACGCTACGAAACGTATACGCATATTACCAAAAATATTCAACCAGTATTTCATTATTTCTTCTATGAAAAATTTTCAAAACCTGGAATATGGTTTGAACGTCGTTTGGCTTACATTAATAGGTGAGGTCAAGTTATGACAGTAATTAATTTAATAGTAATCATTTTATATTTTAATCTGTAGTGTCGCCACAACATCTATGGTGGGCTATATATTGGGTTTGGGTGATCGCCACACTCAAAATATATTAATCGATCAAAACACAGCTGAAGTTATACACATTGATTTTGGTATGTTTTAAAGAAGTTGTGGGTGGGCCACTTTCATATAAAATTAAATCTCTTTTAAAGGTATTGCATTTGAACAGGGTAAAATTATGCCAACACCCGAAACTGTGCCATTTCGCCTGACCCGTGATATGTTGGCACCCATGGGCATATGTGGCCCAAATGGTGTTTTTAAAAAATCCTGTGAAACCACAATGGCAATTTTAAGAAATCATCAAAATGTTATAACCACAATATTGGAAGTTTTACTCTATGATCCATTATATATCTGGAAGGTTGTACCACAAATCAATGATGCCGATAATAATAATACAAGTAGGTTTTATTGCAATATTGTATTGTTATAAAATGTCGATTATCGATTTGTATTTGTTTTCGTATTTTCTTTAACTTAGCTGAAGAGAAAAACCACATAGCACAACGTGCCTTAATTGTTGTCCAAGATAAATTGGAAGGAAAACAAACGGGTATATTTGGAACATCCAGTGTACCGGTACAAGTTGAACGTTTAATCAATGATGCCATTAATCCTCGAAATCTGGCTATGTTGTTTTCGGGCTGGGACCCATATTTGTGAATTTTTTTTAATGTTTTCATTTTTAAAATTTTTATATTTTTTGTGTTTTTATGTAACATCTAGATGTGTATGAGAATAGGTATGTATTTATATGTGTCTGTTATAAAAATCTATTTATTCTACAAAACGAACATAAATCTCTTAGTTTTTTCTTTATATTTCAAATGTGGTATTCTTTTCTATGCGACATAGACTCTTTCCTTGCAATGTTTAGAATTTGTGAGTTGTTTCGAAGTTATAGTTTGACTATCGAAACAAAATATATAATTATCCTGCACGTCTCATTCCATCGTAATCGTTAGTTTATGGTTTAATAATTGCAACATTATCAAACAAAGAAAGCAATCCAGCATTCCTGATGACATATAATATTGGCGGAATTAAAAATATTGAGGTATGAATAAAATATAAATAAATAAATCAGCAACTAATTTGTAATATGATATCTCGGATCCCACAAAATATTATTGGGATTCCCGTGAAAGTTTGTCAGAAATAAAAAATAGTGCGTGAAGGATCGCTGATTGGCTTTAACATGGCAAAGCCCATGCTTATCTTGGCCCCTCTTTCATCTCTATTTTGTACATTGACCTCACCGCGGTGTCACCTGAGGTAGCTACTTTCAACACCCATTGAAATAGTGATCTTATATGTGTCCCATGTTCACCCATAAGAACTATACAAAAATGGGCTGAGGCGTCGAGTTTTTTGCCCACACTAGGAAAACACCACCACGAAAAAGAAAAACAAACCCCATTAAGGTTGAAGACCCCAGCAAACGTATAAAGGACCACGATCTGCGAATCTACACTTTGAATTTGCGCACGTTGTGCAGAACAGACGCAGCTTTCGCTTTGGCGGATGTACTCAAGAAGTACAAAACCGATATTATTGCCTTACAGGAAATGCGATTAAGCACTGTATTATAGCTGCCATGAAACGAGACATTAATTTGGCTGCGGATTTATGGTTAACAGGAGAATAAAAGACCTCGTCTCTAGATAAACTCCAGTAGATGAGCGAATTGTTATAATCCGTATAAAAGTGAAGTTCTTCTACATCAGTCATCAGACAAAAGACATTTTTTACGAGCGCCTATAAAACTGCATATGACCGCTGTCATGGCCATGACTTTAAAATTCTGCTAGGAGATTTTAATGCAAAAATCGGGGGGAAAATATTTTTGGCCTTACCGTCGTAAAATTCAGCCTCCACGAAAAAACGCCCGACAACGGCATAAGGTTGATTGACTTCGCAGCAGCAAACACATAGTAATTAGCAGCTGCAGATTCAAGCATTTCGATATTTCAAAAAAAAAAAAAAAGGACATCGACATAGGCCATGTTGTGCGAATGGAAGAGAATGCCTCAAAAGCTCAAAAGCTCAAAAGGAAGATCAAGTGGAGGATGGCATATCAAAACATGGTCTTTCAAATTTGAATAACTGCGCACAAGATCGACACACCTGGAAATCTTCTTTAAATTCGGCTTATGGAACAAATGTTCTGTCTCCAGCCAGTTAAGTAAGTCAAATTTTCACTTCATGTACTAAAAAGCGACATCCTAATATAAACTTCGGAGATATGATTTCAGATTCTCAAAATACTTGAAATCACTTTCGATAGCCTTTTAACATTATTTAAGCCATCCTGAAGAAAAAATTCTACAAATGCAACAGTATACTCAAAGTCATCACAGGCACCGTATGAGGCAATTTCCTTAATAATATTGCCCCCAGCGACATTCAATAGCGGGTGTTACAAACTACGCAAAATAATACTCTTTGGAGGCGATCCTGAATATCCAAATATCAACATCTGCACTTCAGTATGTAAAACTGTTACAACAACAAAATAGGATGTTCATGGTTATGCAGTATAATAACATACGGGTATGTTCTTATACTGCACGGTGTGTGTGTGTGTGTTTGTGTCAAGCGAGCAATCCAGTTGAAGAAAATGCAACACAAACCTTAGTATATATTTAAATTTTTATTTTTAATGGCGTTTCATGTTAATTTTGTGATTTTAAACAAATTATACGCAAAAATAACATATTAATATATCATCATTTGCCTTTTTTAAAGGTGTGCTACAGAACAGCTCGACGTGTATTCGATACACTTCTATCGTGGAAGTAAATGCCAGAACATGCCTGATAGAGTGTTTGATTTTTATTAGATCTAACTCTCAACACTCGGTTTTTATAATATTAGCTCCTAACATTCAGAGGCTAAGATGAATATTTACTATACCTACATTGTTTTTTTTTTAATAGTTTCCAAAAATTGAATTTGTTTTCTTTTTTATTTAATTCGAAACTACTAATTCAAGAAAGTCCTTTTAAAATCCCAAATGAAATTTAATTCTCCATTTATTCGTGGCTATCGAAACGCATTATTCACATATATAAAAGCAAAACAAAATAAAAAAACTAGAAGTTTTCAAATAATTTCGAATTTAATTTTTCTTATTGACTACATGATGGTACTAATTACTTATTTACTACATACATATGTCATACATACATACATCACATACTTTTACACAATTTAAGTACTACTTTAGCATTTACCCTTGATTGTTTTTTTTTTAATATAACGAATAAATGCTCCGCAACAAGGCATCACACGGAATATACAAAAATTGAAAAATAACGAAAATTATTGGAAAATGCTGCATTCTTTCCATGTCCATTTCACTATGTATTGAAGAAAGTATTTTTCAGTTTCTGCCAAAATAGTGACGAACTATTGTCAGACTTTAATTTGGCATTTCGTTTTTCCTGCGCTTCCGTCTTGAACATTAGCCATTGTTTGCGTATATCCGGATTACTGGGACCCCATTCATCACTAGGTGAACATGCTTTTTGTATGGTCTGAAATGTGAAGTACAAATATGATGAAATTTTTAAATTAGATATAAAAATGTTAGTTCAGATTATTTAATGATATTTAATCAGATGTGTCGATACAATCTTTTTACTGGATGTTGTTCATTTACATTTTCCAATTTTCTCTCTTGAGACAGAAAAAATCGTATTTACTCTCTGCAAATTCCAACCGAGTAAATGTTACTGGGCAAGTAAACGTACGAAATATTATCCCGAGGGAGTTGTCAGTCTTCTACCGGGCGCGTCCCCAGGTGGCGGATAGGGGTAGGCAGGTGTTCATACTACTCTTTTGTAACTTAAGGGAAAGACTTCTTTCACTTGACCTCTTTGCAACAGCATAGTGTGTCCACCTGCTGCAGGGAATTTAGTATTCCCCGCGGACCAAAACTGACTACGGGGATGTTCCCCTAAAACAAAAAACACACTGAAATGCCTAAAGTCAAAAATATAAATAAAGTTACGGTGCAGGGCTTAAATAACCCAGTACCGGCGGGTGACGTTGATCTGCTTACGAGTCGCGACCCGTCGTCATCCAGAGATCGTGAGCAACAATCTGCTACGAATGTGGGTGTCTTGGCATTTGTAGCTGAACGTAATGCGACAAGCACAACGAATGATAAAGACCACTTTTCAAAATCCAGAGGCGGAACAGAACAGCGAATAAATGAAAAATTGCAGCGCAGAGGCAACAATGCTAGTCAGCCAGATGAACCAACGGAAAGAGAGCATTTAGCATCAACATATTCGGAACATGTTATGAATCTGGAATCATCTAAAAAGCAGAACTCGACAAAAAATGAACAAAAGAGTCCATCGCCCTGTAGTACTTCAGAGACTGGTGAGTGCGCAAACGCCGAGAACAATGGAAATAGTACGGATAACATAGCTAAGACCCGATCCAGAAATAAACAGTTGTCTGGAGCACAACGACGGAAATTGGCCAGAATGAGACGGAAAGGACTAAATGTTATCCAGACAGATGCCACAAAGGAGAGTCCGGCTTTACCCACTTCCTCGGAATTAACAACCAATATAAGTTTCACTGAAAAAGAGGACACTGGCTTTACAACGCAAATGAGCTTACCGATTGATAGCACATTGGACAGATGTGATCAACCGTCCCATTTTGAGAAAAAATGTTACGACTACAACAATACCGACTCAAGTGTCATAAGGCGGTCTCCTGATGAGAAAAACATTAGCTATCCGTCATATAGTAGATTGAGTAGGCCGTACCAAGCCCCTCGATATGAAGACAATTATTTTGACAATTCTGGACGAAGTTGCATGACACGGTCCACTGGAGAACAAAACAATGTACAAAGGAACTTCCCATCATATAGTACCATGGGTAGATCACATCAAATCGAATTTCTCTATGATGATAGTGGTTATGACAAATCTGGTCCAAATTCCATGACATGGTCCACTGGAGAACAAAGGGGCTTACCGTCATATAATGCTATGAGTAGATCACATCCATGCCTTCACTTTGATGATAGTCGGGACAATAAATCTGGCCCAAATTCCATGACATGGTCCACAAGAGAACAAAACAATGCACAAAGGAACTTACCTTCATATGGTACCATGAGTAGATCACTTCAAACCTTTGACAAATCTGGCACAAATTCCATGACATGGTCCACTGGCGAACAAACAAATGCGCAAAGAAACTTCACATCATATAGTACCATGAATAGATCACACCAAACCCTTCCCTATGGTGATAGTTGTTATGACAAATCTGGACGCAGTTCCATGACATGCTCGCTTGGTCCAAGTACCATGACGATGTTTAATGAGGAAGAAAACACGGCACAAAGAAGTTTCCCGTCATATAGTGGATTCAACAGATCGTATCAAGACCCACATGCACATGAAGACTATGATTACAAGGCCGGCCCGAGTTCCTTAGAGCCTGGACATCTGGAAAAGAACACCCGAATAATACGCCGGAGGAAGCGGTCTGCTGAATTGTGTAAGACCTTGCCATCTTATGCAAAGGCTGCCAGGAAACGCCAAAAGCAAGAGCTTTGCTATGCTGTTATTGATATGAATAGTACTTCGGGTAAAATTCCCGCAGAGCATCAGAAAACCACCGAAGATTTGGTTAATAATAAAATCTTAGATCACCTCCTTCAAGGAGGGGATCCCATAGAAATTCTTAACTGTAAGTTCAGAGCGGACCGGCTGATAATTAATTTTGCATCATCGTCAAAAATAGAGGTCCTCAAAAACCTTATAGACACTATAACGCCGCCTTGGGAGGGTGCCAATTTAAAGTTGGTGCGAAAAACTGATATTCATGGACTAACAAAAGCTACGGTGTTTTTGAGAGGCTGGGGGAATACATTCCCAAATGAACGGATTCTCGAGATATTTGCACTTCAAAACAAAACACTTTGTGCAAAGAAATGGCTGGTCTTTCACAGGGAGGAGCGTAAGAATGGGACGCTCCTTGTGTTAGGCATAGATAAAATATCTATAACAAGTCTGGCCAAGACCAAGGGCATGGCATTCTACGTTTCAAATGCAGTTTACTTTAAGATCGGAAAGACTAGAATCTGCGAAGACCAAGAAGAAAGTGTCGAGGTAGCTAATACACAAGACAATAGCAACGATGAATGTGAAGATAATATTGCGAACTCCCCGGATTATTGGAGAACGCTGAAATAAAATAGGAACAAGGTTTCTGTTTTAAACCAAATTATTTTTACAGATACATTGACTCAAAAACATGATTCAACAACCCAATCTAATTCACACCAAAATGCACGAAATTGTCCTCCGTTGTAATATTTTTAGAAAATTATTTCAAGATGATGCATATGTTGGTATACATTAATATTTCGCTATAATATACTTACATTCCACAATGAGCCATTGCAATTTGAGGATGCTGTCCATATGAACCACAAAGGGAATTGTACAAAACCTATGGCCAATAGAACCCAACCAGCAACTATGGAAAAAAGATGTAAGAAAAATTTGATTATTAAATATATATATATGTATGTGAATGTGTTTGCTCGCATTAAATGTTAAATTGATTTGATTCCACTAAATACTAATTTATAAATTTCAGAACAAATGGATTGCTTGTATCCACACTATGGAAATGAAATACAGACATAGCTAAAATGGTTCAGAAACCCTGAAGGCCAGCAGTAAACAAATATATTTTTTAGGCGATTTGTGGACGCAGAAAACGATTACCGGTAATAAAACGAAAGTCTCAATACCGTATTTTTGCAATTTTAAAACACCTAACTATCTAGCGATTTTTTCCATTTTCATTATTATATTCACACAATGAATTAAACTAATAAAAAAACGAATAGAATACTTGAAAATAGAATAGAAGTACCATTGAATTATTAATGGGTTGATGAAGAATTCTTGACGACTTCGTATGTATAAAGATAATATTGTTTATATCCTACAATAATGAAATCAAGAAGGCTAAACGTGAGTCTTGGGTAGTATGAGTAGTATTAAGCGAAGCGACGCACAGTGTCACGACCGCGGCCAAAAATGGTAAAAACCAAGTACCACGGAGGACAAATTTTTTCATGAGGATTGATAGAAAACACTCCAATTAGAATAAATATGAAATTTTATATCGATATGTCGAGTAGTTTTGTCTCTACAAAGGTTCAAATCTGATAATTATTTATAAACAGTTTTTACCATATTTTCGAAAAATAGGTGTGTTTTTCTGATGCTCAAATTTTTGAATATTCAAATGAACGGTTATTATAAAAGTGTTTATTTTGGTTGCTGTGGATGTAAAAACTAGGATTCGCTTTAGTTTGTATGTATATAGATATCATAAGGTGCATACTGTCGTCCACACTTGTAGTACTTAGTTCATCAAATTTTTGAAACAAATTTTGAAATTAGTGGAGCAGAAAAAAGTTTAGCTCTTTTTTTATTTGAGTGGTGAAAAGTGTGCTATTTAAGGAATAAAAAAATTAGCTGCGGAGTCCTGCGGTCCTAAGAGTTATTTAACTTTTTTGGTGACCACCTTATGAAAAAATATGGCATATTCATGAAATGGTTACAAGCGAATGGTCAAATATGTTATGTATACAATTAAATAAGTTATTGAGGGTCAAATAGGAAGGAGAAGATGGATTCAGAACATACTAATAATACAACATTTTACATAAAATATGCAATTAAGTGGTAAAAACGTTATTCCAAGCGGAGATATAGGAGAATTGGTTTTAATATATAGCTTTTAAATAAATTTTTAGTCAGTTTGAAGATTATACTTATTTGTCAGATCATTTGACATAATCTTATAATCTGAATTTAGAGGTCGCACATGAATTATCTTTGTGGAAAGCTCATATAGAAAAATTTTAGTTCATGGCATGTGATATGCAAAGTGCAGTACAATACCTTTTGAGCGACTTTCACAAGATGCTAACAAATAATTAGTAGCAGCCCGAACTTTTGTTAAAGCCGAGTTAAATAAGGATTTTAATTAGAATTTTATATTATAATCCGACCTTGTAATATCCTTAAACAGTCATGAAGTAAAGGCCCTAGATTATAACGTGGATGATACTAAATCGTACATTTGGGAAGACAATATATATATATATATATCTATCTGATGTGTGTGTTTGAAAATTTTGTGAATGATAAAAAAGTAATTTATTTGTTACTAAAGGATATCAAATATTTATTATATTATAATAAAAATAACAAAAATAAAACTACTATGCTTAATTTAGCTGCATATAACGATTTTATAGTAGGTACCTGAAATTTGGGCCAACAACTAAATTGCAACACCTATTACTGAAATGTTCATGTCTTCGTCTTTGGGCGAAGACAATTTGCAATTTGAATGAATATAAACAATTTATAGGTCCAAAAAGCGAATTTTTCAAGACCCTATGTATGGGAGGTATACCAAATCTTGGTCCGATCTATCTAATTTTTTGTCAGTTGCTCTTTAGGCCAATAATAAGCACACGTACCAAATTTCATTAACTTACGATAACTCCTTCTATTTTTGGCCGCTGTTTATATGAACTTGCGACATAGTGCGACGGGATGTGGAGATACACTTGATCGATCATCAACCCACTTCCCTGGTTGGTCTACGGATAAGTAAATCGACTAATCGACTTTTTGTATTGAAATGTCTAAAAGTCGAAGTCGACTTTTGATCTTTGAGGGAATCGCAAAGTTGATTTTTCAAGATCGAATTTAGATTTTCTTCTTTAAAACTTGGTTAATTGTCACAAAAATCAAATTTTCTCAAAAAATACATATGTCTGAGCATTATTTGGTCTGCTGACAACAATCCATATAAAAAATTTAGTCGATTTTGCATTTGTAGGAAATCGAAAGATCGAAAAGTCGAATTTTTAGTCAGAGACATTAATCGAAAAGTCTATAAATCTACTTTCTGGTTAGAGGTAAAAGTCGAAAAGTATGGACCATAAAAATTTATGCGGCGTGCAACACGTCGATGAACGAGTATTGATTACTCTGCAGGACATTTTTAGTGCTTGTCTGCTTTTATCGTACATAGCAATGGTTGGACGTATCGAGATAAATATGGAGACCTCCGGTTACACATTGGTTGCATTCCTTGAATTCGAAGCAGCCTTCAACAATGTGAAGCTGGAGGCTATACATTCCGATCTATCTCCTAACGGATTGGGTTGGTAGAATGCTGGAAAGCAGAATTATCAATTCGTCCAGGCTGCTAGATGTGTTCTGAGGCTCCGGGAAACGGATGCCTGGAAGTCGCTGCATTTTGGTTACGCTAGTATACCTAACACGACGCCAGTTTGTGACTTTTTGGAGAGAATTACAAAAATCAGTGATTATACTCCCTCTCATAACGGAGTATCGATAGTCAGGCGGCTCTTAAGCCAAGTCGTGCATTATTAACTCAAAAGCGGTTCGTGATTGCATGACGACGGATTGTTAAATTATATTGGGTTTCAGAATATAGCAACATAGAAGGAAGTGAGATAGCCAAGAGGGTTCACAGTCGTCCACTCTCCCATTGGCTACTTTATTGGGAAAATCCGATTGAGATACTTCGAGGTAGTGGGCAACAGATAGTCAACTGAACCTGGATGCAGGATTTCAAAAACCATCTGGCCAGAACGGAGATCGGCCAAAATTTATAGGGCCAGATGAACCAAGATTTTTGTGTGAACAAAAAAAAATACAAAATTTGCATTCAAAGGCGTATATATTCTTGAAGGAGTAAATTTACTCCCTAAATGAAAGAATAAATAAATTAAATAATTTAAAATTTCATTTCATTTGGACAATAAATGCATCCTGTACTTTAGAATAATCTATGGGTAGATGGATTTTCATAAATCGACTTCGAAAGTGGTTCTATAAGTAGGCACAAAGATATAATACCCTATACGACAGTAAGGTGTAGGACATAAATAAAGTGTTCGTGAAAAACATATCACATATCACTTACTATTTGCCGATTCTGGGTAGTCCATGCCAGCATATTTTAATGTTTTCAATTCGGCCATGGAATAAACGAAAATAAATAATAGTAAAAGTGGTGTAATAACTGCCCAGCAGATACGCCAATAGAATGAGACACGCATTCGACTCATAAACTCAACGTCATCGCAGAAATTTTGTAAACCTAAAAGGCAAACTTTTAATTAAAAATTATCTATTTTAAGTGTTTGGAAACTGGTATTTTCCACTTACCATAGATCCATGCCACGCCAATGATCTGAAATAGAGCTAAACCAAAAATAACAAATGTGGCACCATAATAATCGACTAAATTTAGGATCCATTGACCGGCCTATTTTTGGATACATGAAATTATATAGAAATTAAATTAATTCAAGAACGTAGTTCTACATGACATTATTTTGCGATAGTTGCGCTACTATTAGAAAGCAATATTGGAAAAGGTGTGGGAATCGAATTAAATATGTCTATGAATATGAAAATTTTCTCTCTTGATTTAATCAAAATCCAATGGTTCGTATAAGTATTAATATTACTTATACTACCCATGGATCGTTGTTTTAGAAATATGATAAGCGGTAAATATTGCCCTTAAGTACTGGCGTTTTTTTGAACAAATGAAATGTATAGAAATCAAATTAATTTAATATCATAAATTAATTTTATGATCAGAATGATTATGGCCAATGGTTCGTATACGTATTGACATTACTTATACTCCCCATAGATCATTGCCATATATGAATATGCATTAAATATTGCTCATAAGTACCGGTGTAACGTAAATAATGCCACATAGAAAACCACCAATTGATGTTGCCAATGCCACCATCCACGCCTTCATCCATTTAAAATTATCACATAATATTGCTACCAGTGTATTGGCCTGGGCGACCAATGTTCCAATGCCCAAAACGAACAACATAATAAAAAATAATACAGCAAATAACTGATAATAAAACAACGAAACATTAGTCAAGATATTTTCACCGAACAGGTTGTTACGGTAATATCAAACCTGTGGTACACCATTAAATTTTGCAATAGCATCTGGATAGGATATAAATGCCAAACCCGTACCACTACGCACCACCTCATCGATGTTACTTATATTTAGATTATGTGCCAAATTACCCAAGATGCCGAATATGGTGATACCCGCAATTAAACTGGTTACAGTATCCAAACTGGTAACAATTATAGCATCTCTGGAATCGTCGAAGTTGTAAATTATTCGGAATAATATTCTTTAATAGGTTTACATACCTATGTGAATTGTGATTAAATTTATTATATGATGAGAACATAACAATTGGACCCAGTCCCACGGCAAGCGAAAAGAAACATTGGACCACAGCTTCTTTCCAAACCTAAAAATTTAAATAAAAAAATTTTCAATAGGAAGGAATAAGACTTCTTCTAAGTATAGCATAGTCAAATTCTATAGAAATGCTTGTTCAACAGGGCCGAAGAAGGCTTTTTCTTCTGTAGGTCAGAGGATGGTTTCTTCTGAAAGACAGAAAAAAAAACTTTTTCACAAGAAAAAGTTTTTTTTTCTTTTGGACAGAAGAAGTCTTCTTCTATAGGGCGGAAGGAGCTCTCTTCTTCTATAGGACAGAGAAAGTTTTCTTCTTCTATAGGACAGAAGAAGGCTTCTTCTTCTATAGGACAGAAAAAGGTTTCTTCTTCTATAGGACAGAAGAATGCTTCTTCTTCTATAGGATATAAGAAGACTTCTTCTTCTATAGGACAGAAGGCTTTTTCTTCTTCTAAATTCCTTACCTTCAAATTCAGCAATTCACTCCAATTGGGTTTCAAGAAAAATATAATACCATCCAATGCCCCGTCCAAAGTAACAGCTCTTATTAGCAGTGTTATCAAAATGACATATGGAAATATGGCCAAGAAATATGCTGCCTTACCGGCCGTTTTTACACCACGAACTATTACCAAAAATGTTGTTAGCCATGCCACAAATAAGGCCAATGTCAGTCTCCAACTTGGCAGGCCAATACCCTCGGATATATCATCATATTCACGAATTACCTGTTTGCTATAAATCAACGGATAAAATAAAATAAACAGGAATTCGAAAATCTCCTTCTAACATCGAACTTACATAAAATACATTTCCGAACTACTTGTCGGTTTGTCATTGAATGTTGTGAAATTTTCCCCATTAGTTGCTTTCGAATTGGAGTCAACACAATTAGAACCCCACTCCTGACGACAGTAGGACCACGGCAAAGGATTATAGAATGAGGCCACAAAATAATAGAGTGTCAAGGCCAACAGCGAGGAATAATAGGTAAGTACTGTAACACCGGCATAAGCCTGACCAATGCCAACACCTGGAATTCGATAATGTATAATTATTTTTGAGGAAAATTATTGATTGATTTCTAAAGCTTACCTACAAATGAGGGACATATGGACCATATTTTAACGGAACTTTTGCTGGTAAATTGTCCTAAAAGAACTTCTAGATAGTACATTGGTTTTCCTGAAAAATAAAACGAATGAAATATATTTCTATGGACCAAATCGTATAGAATTATGAATACATATTAATAAAAACAAGTGAAAAGCGTTAAGCTCGGCCGGGCCGAGCTTTGGATACCCTCCACCATAGATATACTGACAGGTACTGGAAATTAAAATATAGGGAACATACCAAAAAGTTGACCTATACCGACATTTCTAAAAAAGGATTATGTAAAGAAAAATAAAAAATTCAGAAATTTATAATGGATAATTATACCTTCAGATTTATCGCTACTGAGGGTGTATACACTTTAACACGGTGAAAATGTGGCTAATCAAAATATTGGTTCTAAACCCCATGTTCCTTTGGACCAAATCCGTTTCAAAAAATTTAGGTTTCATCCAAACTTTGTCCATCTTATTATTTCTTCCAATCTTAGTTCAAATTCGAAAATGGGGAATATCGGTCCATTTCTTCTGGAACCTCTATACAGGGGCTAGGTCTAAATGCGGGTTATAGTTCATTATCGAACCTTACATTATAATAGTTTATCTCGATATCCTCCGCAGGTGAAATGATTACATCAGAGACTTAAAACGCGGAACAAATCAGATAACCCTTTTAATATAAAAAAGGGGGTTATATGGGGACTACCCCAAAATGGGGGCGAATATTAATAATTTTTGGTAGGGAGATTTGGTACCATATACGACTACAAAATACCAATTTGCAGCAAATTCTGTTGAATAACGCGCTCAAGAACCCTTATATGGGGGCTATCCGAAAAAATGGACCTATATTCATAATTTTTTGTGAAGAGATTTGGGACCTATTAAGAACTCAATATACTAAATTACAGCTAATTCGAGGGAAAAATACGATCAAAATCCCCAAAATATTAAAAATTAGGAGGTACCGTTATATGGGGGCTACCAGAAAAAGTGGAACTATATTTATAATTTTTTGTGGAGACATTTAGTACCCAATAAGAACCCAATCTACCAAATTTCAGCGAATTCGGTTGAAAAACGCGATCAAGAACGCCAAAATACCGAAAATTGAGGTGTACCGTTATATGGGGGGTACCAGAATTGATCTATATTTATAATTTTTAGTAGGGAGATTTGGTACCTAATAAGAACTCAAAGTACCAAATTTCAGCGAATTCGTTTGAAAAACACGCTCAAAAACCCCAAAATACCGAAAATTGGGGGGTACCCTTATATGGGAGTTATGTCTAAACGTGGACCGATATAGCCCATCTTCGAACTTGATCTGCCTGCAGAAAAAGACGACTCTATGCAAAATTTTGAGGCTCTATCTCAATTCGTTTAGACGCTAGAGTGATTACAACAGACAGACGGACATGCTTAAATCGTCTTAGAATTTTATGCTGATCGAGAATATATATACTTTATAGGGTCGGAAATGATTATTTCGATGCGTTACAAACGGAAAAATAAAACTAATATACCCTCCATACTATGGTGGAGGGTATAAAAACTAGTGGACCCCCACAAGGAATAGTAAATTGCAACCACTTTTGAAGGTACATTTTCGTAAAATTTAAAATAAAAATTGAATCTTGCGTTTCTACACCTAGAAACATAGAACCCAAAATATCCAATAAAGTTGGAAAATGTCCTGAAAATGCCGAATATTGGGCAGGTACATGGGTTTTCCTGCTAAGATTCTGGCCCCTTTTCTAAATATTTCTCTGAAATTTCATAAAATTTATTTATTAATTTTTTTATTTTACAAAAAGGAACATTATCAAGATTTTAAAAATATAGATGACAATGATGAAAGATTATAGAAATAGATGACAGATAGAGGACATACATTTTTTATAGATGACATCTAGTTAAAATAGACGATTTTCCTCTAAAAAAAGGACGTATGGTCATCTTAGTAAAACTGAACTAATTTCAACAAATATTGTCACTAATTATTTTATAAAAAATTCGGCACGCTGTACTATGGGCCAGAGATCCCTTTTTGCCCAAGTTTAGAGCAGAAGGTTTATGAAATACCATATATAAAGGTTTCGAGGATTACGTTTCTGAAAGAAAAAAGTAAAACTGTAATAGGGTGAACCGAAAACACGGCGGTCAAATCAAATTATTTTTGAAAAAGGGTTTGAAGAGCTATGGCCACTCGCTACTTCTCAGCTACTTCTATTTTAATCTTTTACGAAATTAAATTTATATATTATCGACAATAACTCTTAAGTTTATGAAAGGTCGCAAAAGAGAACATATCAAGGCGTCGATTATTGATATAACCATTAAAATATACTCTGGCACTGATTGGCACTAGGTTCATTCATTTTTTTTTTTTTTTTTTGAAAAAATCATATTTCTAACTTTTCGATACGGAATTTTAAATAGTTATCTTCAAATCATTATAATCTGCAATTCAATTCAAAATTTCGGACAAACAAATTTACTTACAAATAAAAAAATCTATTCAAACCTAAAATTGGCAAAATTCAGCCTTTATGTTAAAAGTAAAGATACTAATGGACAAGATTTTGCTTTAATAACTAGACTTCAAAAAATATTTATAAAAATTAACAAAAAATTGAAATACAAAACTCAAAAGTTAAAAAATTCACTTAAGGTCGGGCATGATAACTCCTCACTGGAACATCGGAATCCGAAAATTCCAACGGTGTTAGAAAGAGTACATGTCTGGCTCTCGTATGAACTAGGATTATTGACTTCGCTCTAAAATTAACAAAATGGTGGACCTTTGAAAAAATATTTTTGGAAAATCGCGGATTTTTTACCAAAAACCAAGTTAAAAAATAAGGAAGATCTTCACCGATTGGCTTCATCCTAGTTCATACGAGAGCTATACACTCCCAGAGAAACGTTGCAAAATTTGACCAGTATAATTCAAGAACAATATTAAATTTTAACATTGTCAATTAACTCTTTTCACATAACGTAAATATTAAGTTTATAGTGTAATAATAATATTTCGGAAGAGAATTTATGATTTGTTTCAGTTAGACCACTGTGCGCCATTTTTGGTTGCATTTTAAACGCACAGTGGTCCAAGAGGCCAATCTAAGTGAAAAAATCATAAATTTTCTTCGGAAGCTGCTGGAAGTATGATTTATGTATTAAAAGCATTCTTTGTACCAAAAATGGGCGTTGTAGGTAAAATGGTCGTGACAATTTTTATGACTTTTTATACCCTTCACCACACTGTGGTACAGGGTATTATGTCTTTGTGCATATGTTTGTAACAGGCAAAAATAATCGGGATAGACCCATGGTTCCTTTTGAGAATATGCATAGAATCACTTTCAAGTCGATTTATGTATGTCCGTCCGTCTGTCCATGTTAAATTGTAAACAAAGTACATGTCGCATTTATGATCCGAATTCGATGAATTTTGGCACAGCTCATTTGTTTGGCCCAAGGACGAACTCTATTGAAATTGGGAAAATCGGTTCAGATTTAGATATAACTCCCATATATATCTTCGTCCGATTTAAGGTAAATGGTGCACCAAAGTCCCTATATATCTTTCGATTTGCACGAAATTTGACACAACGTACTAAACTAAGTCTAGAATGATATTTGCAAAGTTTCGTGAAAATCGGTTCAGATATAGATATAGCTTCGCCGGATTTTAGGTAAATAGTCGACTAAAGTCCCTGGAAATCTTTTGATTTGCATGAATTTTGGCATAGTGTACTGAATTAAGTCTAGAATGATGTGTGAAAAGTTTTGAGAAAATCGGTTCAGATTTAGATATAGCTCCCATATATAGCTTTGACCGATGTTAGGTAAATAGTCCACCAAAGTCCTTGGATATCTTTTGACTTGCACGAAATTTGGCACAGCGTAATGAAAAAGGTCTAGAATGATGTCTGCCAAGTTTCGTGAAAATCGGTTCAGATTTAGATATAGCTCCCATATGTATATTCATTCGATTTAAGGTAATTGGTGCACCAAAGACTCTATATATCTTTCGATTTGCACGAATTTTGGTATATAAGTCTAGAATGATGTTTCTAAGCTTCGTGAAAAGATCCATAGCTAGGCCGATTGACACAACATACTGATGTTATATAAATTAGTCTCTGGCAAGTTTCCCTGAAATCGGTTCAGATATAGATTTATAACAAAACGCGTCGTCTGTTTGGATACATATGTAAAATATACCCAAAGTGGTGAAGGGTATCATATAGTCGGCCCAGTCCGACTTTACTACTTTCCTTACTGGTTTAAATTATGAAAATGTAACGAATATTAACGTATTAATGTAGATCTGCCGGATATCCATTTCGGGCGCCTCATTTTAAAATTGAAGATATGTATATATGAACATGTTAAAAATAACAAATTGTTTGTAATAATTACGAACTTTTCAATAAAAAGTTTCATTCTAATTTAACATATAACAATGGAGACCTCACCAACAATATGCTCCCTTGATACACCACTAGGTTCGAATAGGTATATTGCACTAATATACAAAACAACATAAGAATATTAATATATTTAAAATAATAATAATTTATTTAAATTAGTCTACATTTTCCTGTATGAAAGGAAATAAAAGTAAGTATAGCCTTAATCCCCCAATATTTCTTTTTTTCGAGATCTAAGAAATGGCTTTGTTTTAAAAATATTAGATAATTGGATCAGATGACAGAATCAAAGAGCTTAATGTTTTTTTTCTTCTGTGATGCTTTATCGAACTCACTACGAGCCTGCGATTTTTTAATTTCAATTTTGTAAGATATATGCACATTCCAGGCACCTCTTCTAATCTTCTGTTTTAGTTTTCTGAAATCCTCTCTTAGCAAAAAAAAAAAAACAGCAAGGAAAGTAGTAAAGTCGGACA